AAATTGGAATTCTCTCCATGGTCCGCCGTCGGAGGATTAACAAAATGTTAACAATTCAAATTTCCCGCGTCAACGTTTACACGCAAGTGGTGGGGGACTATATATACGAGACCATCTCCTCTATATTGTCATTCTCCACGGAGAAGCCCAAGGGGAAGGGCGTAAACCCGGGACATCGCCATTTCTTTGGAGGGAACCCAATTTGACAGCAAATGTAGGCAAATAGAAACATTGAAATATAAAATATAAAAAGGGGCATAAAATGTGTTATATTTCAAGAATAATGAAAAATTTGACAACCGACTATCCAGACCCACTGTGCGCCAGTCTCGATGAAAATAATAGCTATTGCAAGGTGTAAGGATAAAATCGAAGACATCCGGTATCGTTTCATTATTTAAGCGAAGCGGAGCCTTGATTTTGGTCGAGACGGGACCTTCGCGGAGTCTGGCCGGTTCCCGATAACCGTCGAACGGATCGAATCGATCCGTCTCACCTCTCGACCCGCCTCGGCTCGTCGTCGACTCGGTTTTCGCGGACGCGCAGCGGTCTTGAGATTCCGCGAGCCCAAGGCGGTGCTTCGCCGTCTTGGGATCAAGATCGAAGCTCGATCGCGAGAAAACAGCGTCGTATTCTGCGAATCTAACCAACGATTCCCTTGAATCCATCCGCACGAGGGAATCACCTCCGACCATTTAACCCTTCTAATCTGACCAACCAACTTACAATAATTCAAATTTAAATTGCCTACTTAAGGGTTAAATGGCGCAACGAAGCCAGTATCGTGACCCAGATCTCCGATATCTATTATACGAAGGTTATCCAATAAATAACCTTTGTGTAAATACGAACGGATAACATAAAATTACTGGAAGCCGATGAAAATGGCACCTGTTCATTTCTTTGCGAAATTTTGAGAATCATCGAAGTCTGCTACCCTTCCTACCTGTTCCTCAGATTATCTCCTTTTGGCTGTTTTGGAATAGCCCCACCAAAATTGAGAACTCAGGTTCGGTATATAACCTAAATTGACTACAAGAAACCGATTATAGTTGGTTTCAGAGCTGGATGTCTTACCGTTTTCGAGATATCGTGGTAAGGTTAGGTTAGATTAGGTTAGGTTCTGTGTATGCGCAGTATCGAATAGCACATGCGCAGTATTGAATAGCGTATGCGCAGTATTGAACAGCGCATACGTAGTCCCATAATTGTACATAAATTTCTTACCACGATATCTGAAAAACGGTAAGACATCGAGCTCTGAAACCAATTTTAATCGTCTTCTGGTAGTCAATTTAGGTTATATACCGAACCTGAGTTCTCAATTTTGGTGGGGCCATTCGGAAACTTATCTTTCCTTTTAATTGGGCCATCAAAACAGAAGAATCGCGAGATGCTTCCACACCGATTTCAGTGTTTACTCGTATTCATCGGTTCGCGTGACTCGAAGTATTTCGATAGATAATAACCGAGGTGCAATTTTATTTCGCGTGCAACTAACAACGTCCACCGATTTCGGGCCATCCTCTTTTTCGTCCGTTCTACACCCGAACGAAACGGGGGCCACACGCGGAACGGTTAAGCAGAGGGAAGAGGTCCCTCGGTGATCGGTGCAGGATGACGGGCCGGTATCCGTCCGATCGAAAGGGAAATGAAAAATTTCGCATGGTGGAAAAGAGAAAAGGAAAAAGGAAAATTCGAGCTTCGATTCGCGGAGAAGAATCGAGGAGAGACGAGAGCTTTCCCGTTATCCGCCTCCTCTCTAAGCTGATTTCGAGCTGGCGGCCTGAGGCCGGTACCGCTAGCTTCCCAGAAATCGAGCCTCGATAATACCTCTCGATACGGATGAAGCAATCTCCTACTGTCGCAGCGGCCGAGAGGGGAAAAAAAAGGTTGTCCCGCGACGAAAAGGGTGGGGGAAAACGAATAAGGGTGGGAGAAGTCGCGCATATAACCAGCACACCACTAGCTTTGCTTCATCTTTTATTCATCGATTCAAACGAATTCGAGGTGTACTCTTCATCGCGTGCTTCCTCATCGTCACCGATAACGCGATGTCCTTCTTCTCTTATCCGAGCTTTCAGGGCTAACTCCTCATTCAGGGATACCTCGACGCTGGGATTCTGCTCTCTCATTTGCCTTTTTTTCTTGCGTTTAGAGTCACTTAGGTATTTCTTCTTTTCTTTTTCTAATGCTTCAATGACAACCGACACGACAGACGTGATAAAAGGTGTCACTTATGGATGAAATTGTTATTATTTTTAGTCTTTCCGTGTTTTCGGGGGAAAATTTTAACAAGGTATGTTTCGAACTTCCTACCGTTTCGAGGAAACGTCTCGAGCTGTAAAGTGGATCGAGTAATTGCGTCTGACTTAAATTCGATTTTACCGAACTGACCTACTGTGATCATCGCGTACGTTGACGCACGAGCGAAGTATTTTCGCGAATGTTTTCTCGAAGCCATCGATAAGATCGACAGACACATTTTTTATTTATCCAGCCACGAGACGATTCTTCCTGATTTAATTTCACAACCCTCTTTGATCAATTTTGAATAAATGGAAATTAACTCTTGAGCAACGTGGCCTGGGTCAATCGTGACCCCGAATTTAATCTAAATTTAATGATTTTTAAATAAAAGCGAAAGAATAATTTTTAAATAAACAGTGTAGAATTTAGAAAATGAATTTAAATTACATTAAAACTGGGTCTCTCTCCATGGTCCGCCGTCCAAGGGTTACGCGTCGTCGATAAGTAGACGATAGATTTGCAAACTAAACGGTAATTATTTCGTCGACCGTAGTCAATTGCGACGGATTTATAAATATTAAAAATGAAATTTGTTTATAAAGTGAAATTTTCAACCGTTTAATGCAGAGACATTGTAACATGGTATACACGCGTTTGTTATAATTCAGCTGATCGATTCAGCCGGCTGGCGATTGAATCCGATATCCTCGCCCATTGCAAATCGGTCTAATTTTTAACAGACTCACAGACGCTATAATTTTCCACTGGGCACATTACGGTGAACCGTTGCACATTTATCGAATCAGCGCATTATCGTTTTCCATTTAAATTCCCGCGATATTGTGGAAAAGTATGAATGAAATATCGTTTCTCTTTGTAAAGCGTTTTTCTGGATAAAAAGAAAGATACAAGCGGATTCGTTTCTACTATTTATAGCAGGGAACGTTCCGATCGACATTCACAGTTTTTGATCTGAATTCCGTTGTTGCATCTCTTTTTTCTTATTTTTCTCTCCTTTTTCCCTCGGTTCTTGTGCCGATCGCATACGCACGAAGAGAAGTTGGTCGCACAGGATTGTGTAATCTTCATTCAGTTTCCTGTAGAAAAAGATTTCCGATTCAATAGCGATTGATTTTCTCGATCGGAAGTAGCAGAAAAGTCTCCGGCCGATAACGTGAAATCCGCGGACGTAAGCAAGGTGTCCGATTCGAGCGTCACAACGAAAGAGAATGAAAGCAAAACTTTCGAAACGTTTTTTTTATATTACGTTTCACCGGATGGCCGGCGAATGCGAATACGTGCCCGTTCGGGAAATATTTAATTCCGAGACACGGATGAAATCGAATAATACGATTTAGAAGAATAGTACGGACGTTTCGAGTGAACGATGGAAAGTGGAAGCGCGAAAGAAACGGAAGGCGAAAGCGTTACAGCTTTACTCCACTTTTCCGTTCGGGTAAATTCCTTTGTAAAAGGCACTCGATGCCTGGCTCGTTGGTTTTTCTCGCACGAACGACTCGTTTCGCGACACCCCGTTCGCCCTTACATGGTACCGTCGAAAATCCGACAGGAAAATGAGAGGATATTGTACGAAGCGAGTTGTGTCACCGTGAAAAACGAATGATTTTTCGGCTGCCGGCGCCGTCTCGAAACGGGCTGTCCACTGTGCAACCGTGGCAAGCGTCCGAAACGATAAACGTCGAGTAGATGGAAATAAGAGCGGAATAAAGCGTGTCTGGATGGGAGGCTGGCGTAGCCGGTCTCACGAGGTGCTCGTTGGACTGGAGGCTCACCACCTTGCTGCCAGAAAACCCGATGGCACCTTAAGCAGAGAAGTCAAGGGCAAGATGCGTCCCTTCGTTGCCCAGTCTGGCTCAGCTTGGGCCCTACTTGGGACCCCACTCTTGGCTTCCTCGTCGTCCAACTCCAACCCCTCCCCTGTCTACACCTCATCTGTGTGTAACACTCCCCGTGCTTCTCCAGCCCCTTCACCTTTCCGTATCTCTCCCTCCTTCCACCTTTCCATACCTTCTATCATCCTTCCGTCCGCTCCCTCCACCTTTCCAGCCCTTCTTCTTCTTCTTCTTCAACGGGCTCTCCCGTTCCTCCACACACTGAACCGCGAGTCGCTTCTCTCGCGTTGGTGCCTTTCTTGAAATTCGTCTCCCTACCAACAGTACAAGCATCACCAGCAACGACACAAACAGCAACAACCGAGCAGCATTCAACAGTAAATAGCAACACCATCCAACAGCACGTGAACCAGCAACACAACCCGGTTGTGTATACACTTACGACAGAGAACGAACGACAGAGAGCACCACCTCCTCCCTCTTCTGCCCTCGTCACAACACGAATCCATATGTATGGGGTTGAGGCGCACAGGCGACGCAAATGTGCTGACTACATTACGTCCCACTATATAAGATAGCCGACCAACCATCCTATCCCCACAGACCGAGCCAGATCGGCAGACCGTTCACAGACGGACCAACGAACCGATCAACCGACACACTAATACAAGACACATCTTTTTCATTCGCGACAGATCGCGACAAGCTAAACACGGTAAAAGTCAATCGAGGGTTTAAAACGCTCGTTCGCGTCGATCGCGATCGGTTACAAACGATTTCTTCGATTTCCAAACACACCGTTCCAGAGAAAGTGATATCGGATTTTCGGCCTTTTTACTTCGACACGCGTCGGGATTCCTGTTACGAACAGCGGACCGCCGTAGATTTTTCGGGGTAAATCGAAAGTAAATCGTCTTTACAGGAGAAAACGGCTAAAGGTTTCTTTTCGCGTAAGCCAAAGGTACCGTAGGTCGGGGTACCGCATTCTCCGTACACGTTAAACAAAACCACACCGGAGAACTGTGCCGTAAACGTAAGTGAGTGCACCGAGGAGAGACAAGATCGAAGATGATCCCTTTGACAGCCACCACGTGCTTCCTGATCGCCGTCACTTTCCTGGCACTCGCGCTGATCCTCCTGGATTATCTCCGTTCGAAGAAGACGTCGAAGAACGTGATCGTCGACGATGACAGCCACTTGTTGCCGGAACCACCGGGACCGAAACCGTGGCCGATCCTGGGCTCCCTTCACATCCTGGGACGCTATAACGTGCCCTATAAAGCTTTCGGTGACCTGGTTAAGGAATACGACTGCGAGGTGATCAAGCTAAGGATGGGATCTGTGCCCTGTGTGGTCGTAAACGGTTTGGAGAACATCAAAGAGGTGCTGATCACCAAAGGACACCATTTCGATTCCCGGCCGAACTTCGACAGATATCATCTGCTCTTCGGTGGTAACAAGGAGAATTGTAAGCAACTTTCATTTCTATCATCTCATCATCCGCTCGTCGAGCCTCTCTAACGTTAATTCCGAATTAATTAACAACCCGTTTACCATGCAAACTGGTCGCGGTTCGTGTACGTTCGGAGAATCAATCGGGATTACGTAACGCGACTCGAATCATGAAGTTTTAATTCACTTCTGATATTTCTCTGGTCTCCTTTCGAACGGACGCGACCGGGAAACGGATCGTCCAGATGTACGGGAGTCAGCGCGAAAAATTCAATGAATCGACACCTTATTGACGGTTGCTGAAAAACTCGTTCCCCATGCTAACGACCTTGCCGATGGTGCCGCGACACGTGAGCGTGTGCGGGCCGTTTATTTTTTCGTTCAGAGAACATCGAAACTCGTGCTAAGGTCAACGCCGAAGCGGTACCAAGTGCAACACCGGAAAGGTCACGGTACCACTTTCACGCGTTCCTCGGCAAACAGGATCAAGGCTGATCCACCGGAGGCGTTTCCGATAGCCGACTCGCCGGGAATTTTCTTTCTCTCTTTCTCCTCTTCCGCCTGCTCCCTCTTCGAACGAGACACGTTCGTCGGGAGAAAATTGTAATATTTTGAAAAAACTTTTTGCAAATTCTATGCCACCTCTTTCCCGGTCTGTGAAATAATGCGATCTCTTAAAAATATGATAAAACACATCCGAAAGGGGTTAAATCGAAAGAGAAGGAGAGCGTAATCGTGTCGTCCTGTAAAAACAGAAGAAACCAGGTCATTTCCTGTTCCGAGCCTGACTGGCGAACGGTTCGATTTGAAATCGAGCCGCAGGCTGGCGCGCGCGATTCGATGAATCGATTTTCTGCCGAGTACGCGCGGGACGGCTTGTATTTCCGCGTGTGCGATCCGAGAATCAGGTGGAAGGAGAAACGGCGAACGATCGGACAACGGAAAGGGAGAGGAGAAAGAACGCGCGTCGACGAATTTTTCCTTTTCGCCTGACAACGATATTTCGAAATCGCGTTCGCGTTCTTGCGTCAAGAAATGCCGTTGGAAGGTCAAGTTTAACGCCGTCGATCTTCGGCTCACCTTGACGCCGTAGCATCAATGAAAATCTCTTTATCGATCGATTTCTTTTCCTCGATTCAACCGTTTTATATTTAAATCCTCGTGATTCCTGGTTTTCCTCTCGTACATTTCCTGTCCGTAGCCGAGTGGAAGATCTTTTTCTTTCATTCCTTCTTTCTTTCTCTTCAACGTCGGTACTGAAGGAATGGATTTTTAACGAATGTTGCAGCTCTGGCGTTCTGCAACTGGTCGGAGGTTCAGAAGACACGAAGAGAAATGGTTCGAGCGTACACGTTCCCCCGAGCCTTCTCCGCTCGTTATAACGAGCTGAACGGTATAATCAACGACGAGATGAAGTTCCTGGTCGACCATCTGGGCTCCCTGTCCAAGAAGGACGTGGACACGAAACCGTTGATCCTCCACTGTTGCGCCAACATTTTCCTCACTTATCTATGCTCGAAGAACTTCCGGTTCGAGCATCCCGGTTTCCGTAACATGGTGGCCAATTTCGATCGGGTCTTCTTCGAGGTGAACCAAGGATACGCGGCTGATTTCCTGCCGTTCCTAATGCCCCTTCATCATCGTAACATGGCGAGGATGGCTCACTGGAGCCACGCGATACGCAAGTTCATCATCGAGAACATAATATCCGAGAGATTGAACAACTGGAACGGCACGGTACCCGAGAACAATTACATGGACTGTCTGATCAATCATGTGAAAACCGACGCGGAGCCGCACATGTCCTGGAACACCACGTTGTTCGTGCTTGAGGACATAATCGGTGGGCACACCGCCATCGGTAATCTTCTGGTCAAGGTGCTCGGGTTCCTCGCGACGCGACCGTGGGTTCAGCAGATCGCGCAACAGGAAATCGACGCTGTCGGGATCACGGGACACTACGTCGGCCTGGAGAACAGAGGATCCTTGCCGTACGTCGAGGCGATCATCTTGGAGACCGTTAGAATAATCGCCAGTCCTATCGTGCCGCACGTCGCCAATCAGGATAGCTCAATCGCTGGTAAGTTTCGACAATTTTATCACCTTTCCTTCTTTTTCTCGAATTCGATCGTCTTCGTTCGTCGTCTTATCCACGGTATCACGTTGTCAGGTTACAGTATCAAAAAGGACACGTTCATATTTCTGAACAACTACGCTCTGAACATGTCGAACGAGCTGTGGACGTCGCCCGAGGAATTCATGCCCGACAGATTCGTGCAGAACGGCAGGCTGTTAAAGCCGGAACACTTCTTGCCGTTCGGCGGTGGTCGAAGGTCGTGCATGGGCTACAAGCTGGTACAGTATCTCAGCTTCTCGATCGTGGCCACGTTGCTGAAGAACTTCACGATAGTGCCGGTGGAGAAGGAGGATTACACGATCCCTATCGGCAATCTGGCCCTGCCCGAGATCACCTTCAAGTTCCGTTTCGAGAGACGGTAGGGCAGCGAACGGCGGCGAAGGTTCGCCAGGAAGATTAAAAGGGCCGACTCGACGAGTCCGGTTGCTTTTCACCGAATGCTGCGAACGAGCTAAGCTCACCGGCGACTTATTGGACGATAAGGTTCTTTTTTTTTTTTTTTTGAATTTAGCCTAAGGATCTTAGCAAACGAACGCGGAGTCGGCTGAACAGAGAGGTTCTCAATGTAATTAGCAAGGATGAAAATGAAAAAATGAAAAAATCAAGCTTTACAGAAGGTCGAATGCCACGGTGCTACTATCAGGATTCGACGCTTCCATGGCAACGAGAGCTTTACTGACATTACTAGACGCTTAAGCTAGCTAATTTGTTGATCGTCCGTCGATCCGTGACGACTACTCTCCCCTTTCCTCGAGAACACCCCCACCCCCCACCCACCCCCCCGGTCGAAGACGATCAGCCGCGTAATCAGGAGAGAAAACTTGGACTGAATCGAAGAGGACTGACCCTACGGTTGATGCTGCAAGAGAGCACTACTGTTGCTTTAGCTGAACGCTTTTATTAGGTAAATCGAGTCTTGCCGTTCATCTTCTTCAGCGACTTCCTTGAGTAGAAGGTACGTAGAGTAAAATAGATAACACGTCGCTTTATCGAATGATCGTCGGTTCTGACAGTTGCATTTGTACCGGGAATTAAATCAGGTTCGTTAGGTACAGTTTTACCAGTGTAAATTCAGCATGAGAAAGGTTAGTTTTCAGAAAACGATCGAGGTGATACAGATACGATCGATAATTTCTTCGAAATTGATCCCATGGTCGATCGACGCGATTTTTATCGTTTCGATAATTTTTGCTTGTTGACGTCTCGCAATCGATCGATTTCGAGGAATCGAGCACGGTGATTCACGGTTCCTATCCAGATCCAGGGATCGGAAATCGCCGAGTCCCACGAATTTTCTGTTGATCCCGATGATCACGTACCGACCGTCATCCGATAATGTTCTCGTTCGAAAGACGAGACGCGAGAACGTGACCGGCAAGAAAATACGGTACGAGACGAGACGAGACGATTTTCGTTCGTGTTTCGATCGGTTGTTCGATCGCGGGAAAAAGAGAGAAAAATTTGATGACATTTAGGAGAACGAAACGCCTCGCTAAACGTTTCATTCGCGACCGGCTAAAAATATGTACGTTGCTTTCGACATGCATCGTTTGCGGTATTCCCAATACTCGACCAATATCGGCGTCGATATTGATCCAATATTTTTCCCTATTCCCGCCAATCCTCGCGATCTTGGAATCGGCAATTTTTAGTATTATATTAAGTTCGAAGGGCACCGATTCCAATTCGGCGAAAGGCGGCGCGTATTTATTGTCGGAATCGTGATCGGTCGAGTTTGATTTAAAATATTCGTAGGAATCTTGACGCTTTTCTTTTTCTTTAACCCTTGAACGGCGAAGCCTGGATCGATATAAATGTATAATTTCCAAAGGAAAGAATACTTTTTAAAGGAACAGTGTAAAATTTAAAAGACGAAGATCGGGACTCTCTCCATGGTCCGCCGTTCAAGAGTTAAGCAAACACCAAAGCTTTTAACGCGTTGAATATTCAAAAGTATATTAAATCGCATGAATATTAGTCGCAGAAAATGTTAAATTAAATGTGTATTTTAAATAATTATAGTGTGGCCGCACTATACACGGACTTTTTTCACTGCGACATTTTTAACGCGTTAAGAATCTTATCGTATCGACTCGTCACGATTCCGCGCACTTGTTTATTCCGTGTTTTCAACGGAACGTTAGCGATGAAATCTCTTTTTTTCCAATGTTGGATCAATATTTTGACCCAGAAGATAATATTCGATCGTTTGGTTGATTGAAAGTGTTTACGAGAACGTCGCACCGAAGCGTACAACATATTAATTTGTTAATCTCGTTTCTCGACGTAATCCTCGACACGTTCCTTTCTTTCTCCTCTCCTTTGATTTCTTTGTTTTCTTTTTCTATTGTTCCTTCACTATCTGTTTCTTCTTCTTTCGTTATTCTATCCCCTAGGTCCTTTCAAACGATCCACCTCGCCATCGTCGTTGCAAAGGAGAATTGTAATTAAACGAAAATGAGAAAAAAAAGAAACGAATTGTTCACGGTGGCGTTAAGTGGCTCGTCTTTATAAGGGATGGGAAATGGTAGAGAACGAACGAGTTCGAGTTAAGACGAGAAAATCAATTATTATACCTGTAATATCAATTATTACACGACTGAATGACTTTTCTCAAAGAGAGAAGTTTATTTCTCGCGGGACAACCTCGCGGTTAATAATTTATTTCTGCTATCGAGCATCGATTCTTATTATTATTATGTTATTATTATTATTAGTATATTAATATTATTATTCTATTATTATTATCGCTTGCTATTATTATCGTCATTATTATACGTAGCTAGAGATGTCATCCTATCCCTTTTTATCATCACATTCTCCATCCTTCGTTTCGTGCTTCTTACATCCGTATGTTATTTTGTGTTTGTTATTTAATTATCCTGATTGTTACGACATTTGTTAATTTATTATTTAAGATTTTAATAATAAAAGCGAACAGTGAAATTTTCATTTCGATCCTTTATTTTATTTTTCTCACCCCCCTTTCAGCTGATTAATTATCGATTAATAATTATTCGCGAATGCACGAATCGCGTGCTAATGATTTTGATTACCGAGCAATAAACACGTGATTTAACGCCGGAATATTTCGCGAAACGTGCAGAAAAAGGTAGAATAATTTGAAAAGATTTTGATATTTTGCCGAGTAAGAAATTAGAGACCTTGAAAAAGTTTTGTGGTGACGTTAATAGAGAGAGTTCGAAATGATCGGTTCAGATTTCAAAAGTAGAATTTCTTAACAGGGATTCGTTTGAAAATTCTTACGATCGATATCGTTCAAGTAATAACAAAGGAGGATGACTATCACTCGTGTCATTTCTTATCGTACGCTCGACCTGTTATCAAATTGACTTTGTTGTCACAGCACTTATCTATGTGGACACAGACGTGCCAATAACTGTATAAAAATTATTTTGCATCAGTTAAGTTAATTATCCCGATGCAAAGCTAAACAATTATTTACCAGTTGAATTAGACGATATTTTCCTCAATCGTGGTTAGTCATTTATTTATAAATAATTACACTTAAATTGGAATAACATCTACAAAGAATGGTGTTTAACAATTACGATATTCGTTAATAACATTGTCAGGTATAGTTGCAGTTCTTATCTTAACGTAAATTAGTAGATTATTCTTAAAATGTACTATACAAAAAGTAAATGAACACAAACGGCATGTATTTGTTGCACAACTCGGTATCTTTACTTTTTCATTCATTTTAGACTAGTTTATACTCAAGTTTCCTTTTTCGGAATCTCGTGTTCGAAATTGAATAGTACCACTTCTAACATCAGTTTCTTTTGTTTTCAGGTGCGCTCAACATTCACTGGGAGAAAAGAGTATTTTCACATTTTCACTGGAATCCAAGCAACGTCTCAATGGTAAATTTTCATATCCTCCAATCTGCATACCACTACTTTTAACACAGTTTCAAACGGAGGATTACAAATTGGAAGATTCAGAACAACAACTGAAACCTTCAGAAGCGTAAGTTTAATTATTGAAAAGAGAAAAGTTTTTCATTTTCTGTATTCTAAAGTCTGTGTCGGAGGATTAATCAAAATTTCCAGCTGTCCATCGTTTAAAAACATCGTTAACGCTCGGACGGCGGACTACGGAGAGAGCCCCAAAACGGCGGACCATGGAGAGAGCCACAATTTTAATTCAATTTCGTATTTCATATTATTTTACACAATTATTCTTCCAATATATTAAATTCATTCTTCTAAAAATGATACATTTAACTTTAGGTTGATATCCTTCTATATAACTTTGGGTCACATCGACCCAGGTTCCGTTGTTCAAGGGTTAATATCAGTAAGGTACCAAGAACGCTGTTACGCAGCCGCCGACACGTCTTTAAGGTCCATCATTCTCTCTTTCTCCAGGCGATCGGCGGCTTTGCCGTTTTTTGAAAACATTTCCACGATCTCGGTCAGCGTTTTCCCCTTGGTCTCGGGTAAGAAGAAGAATACGAACAGGGTACCAAAGAACGAGAGTACCGTGAAGAACATGAACACACCGTATCTGCCCAACGCGACCTCCATGTCCGGGTAAGTCTTCACTGTGATCGAGCTGAAGATGTATGCAATGCAAGTGGTGAGTCCCGTAAGTACTTCTTTCACCTTGGTAGGGTAAACTTCGCCCACCATGGCGAACGGTATCACCAGGAATCCTAAGGTGCTCGAGAAGATGTACATAAGCACGCATATTACAGGAACGAAACCACCGTCCCTCATGGTGTAACCTCTGTCTTCGGTCAGCAAATAAATGGACAGCACACCCATGAAGATGGTCATTCCAGCACCGGAAACGATCGACGGGATTCTTCTACCGAATCGTCCCGACAGGCAGGCAACCAGTACACTTCCAACGAACCTGGTGAAACCAATCAAAACTGCTCCTAGATACGGGTCTATGGTGATACCAGCGTTTTCTATGATGTCAACCGCGTAATAAACCACCACGAATATGCCGGAGAATTGTTGGAAGAAGAAGTATGCAAGCATGATGGCGAACGGAAGCATGGCGTTTCTTTTCAACAGATGCTTCAAGAGATTCTGTTTCTTCTTTTGCGGACGTTGTGTCAGCTGATCGTACACGTGAGCCGGGGGTGACGCGTCCTTTGGGATGCCGTGAAACTTTTTCGACACCTGTAACGCCTCGTCTAGACGACCTCTGTCTCGCAACCAGATCGGGGTTTCTGGGACGATGGCCAAGGTTAACGTGGCCGAGACAAGCGGGAAGAGGGCGCACATCAGAGCCACCATTCGCCAGTCGTCCTTTAGAAACGAAATATCACCTTTTCGTATACGGTTATCTCAAATGCAACATGTCTCTCTTACCTTGAACACGTAACCGAAAATGTAAACGATCAGAACACCGATCGCTATTGATACGCTGGTCCACGTGACCATAGTTGCACGCCACTTCGGTGAGGCCACTTCTGCGCTGTATACTGTGGCTGGTACCGAAGCCGAGCCGGTCGCGATTCCGGAAATTATTCTGCCAACGAGGATTTGTTTGTACGTTCCAGCCATGTAGATGACGATCCAGCCGAGGATGGAGACGACGGATGTTATCAGCAGGCTCACCTTTCTTCCGCATCTCATGGTGTAACTGGAGAGGATGCAACCGAGGGGGATACCCAGCGCCGTGGCGGTAGCTGCGGATTAATCATGATTCAATTTTAAGGTAATCCCAATGAATTCTTTTGTTTTTTAATCAATCGTTTTACCTATCCAATTCGCTTGGGTTTTATCAATTTGTACGTCGCTGGTCTCGGACATCAACGGTCCCAGTGCAACCGCGCTGTAACCGAATGCCATCGAAGGACCCAAGACCGAGGAATTCGCGCACAAAGCCATGATTATCTGAAACAATATTATTCAGTAAATATTTCTACGTAATGAATTTTATTCAGACAGGTTATTTAGAATCGAGAGATAAAGATTTCGCATCGATGTTGGTTGTTCGTCATCGCAAAATGTGTCACAGTGATTGCAGCAATCGCCTTATCAGTAAACCTCTGTCTCTAAATGATGTATAATTCAATTTTAGACTCGACGATTTTTCTAGTATGCACGTGCAGGTTAACATTGAAAAATTTCCATGTTACATAAAGTTTCGTGTATCGTTCATCGGTGACTGCGATTAGTCGTCTTTATATTTGTAATTATTCTGATTATAAATTCAAATTAGATTGCCAGGGAACGGCTTACATCGACGTTGAAAGATTAATCAAGCTCGGTGATGGTGTAGCTACGAAAAATAAACTGATAAGCATGAAATTATTATAATAATTACCGAAGAATAACAGAACCCAGTGGCGTTATCATTTTCACGACAGATAGCGGTCAACTGTTAATGAGTAATAAGAGAATCGCGTGACCAGTGGCATTGTTAAATTTTATTTAGAAAAATTATTTCGAACACATTTTTTAACCTTCTCTGATTTTATCTTATCCATAAAGGATCAAGGATTTGTAAGTTCCTTGGATTCATGAATAAAAAGCGAATAAGTACCAGAGGATAGAGCATCGAAATCGACTAAAAGCGATTCGTTTGGGGAGATTCTTTTTTTTCTTTTTTCTTTTTCTTTTTTTTTTTTTTTTTTCAAACCACCCTGTTCTTATGTGACCAATATCGAAACCGGTTTGGATCGAAGGTTTGGAAGACGAGCAATACGCTCAGGTAATAATTAAATTAAGCCTTGAAGTGTCGCCACACGAGGTTTACGTAAAGCTGCGTTAAACGTTCGATAATATCACGGTATTTCAAGTTACGCAAATCTTTCTAATAAGCTTGTTTCTACTCACGTTTATAATTTACCGTATTTTGTCTGCACGATGCGATACTGACTGCTGGTTACATAGACGAGGGGGTCGTGTAGGGGCATCTCTTAAATTGTATTTGTTTAAAAATAGACTAATGATTTTTTAACACTTTAACTTTTCTTTTTTATAATTATCAGTTTGTTTATTTAATGCGATCAGCTGTTCGATTTTTTATCAACTAATGGTAGCGAACGTGTAATGGAACTTTATCAGCGTTCCATTAAACTAATGCACCGATCAATATCGAACACCAGCGAAAGCTGTCGATCAACAGTGTTTTCTTTTTTTCGCGTTCTTTTACGTGTCATTCGGAGTTTATTTCCATGGAATGAAAATTCATATACGAGGCTGATTGTTGAGAGAAAAAAAAAGGAAAAAGTTCAATTACGTCCGACTGAGGCATCCCATGTAATTTATTATGCAGATAAGAGGCCAACGATTGGAATTCTTTACGTAAGCCGATACAGCTTGATCCTCTTTCTTGTCTCTCCGTGTTTCTCGTCAAACGACACTTGTGCTCGTAACACGATCTTAGAAAAGGTCTTGAACAGTCTAACTCTAGCTTTTTCAGATGTTTTATTTCTCTAACAATCAGATTTATTGTGTTCTTTGGAAGGCTTGAAAATATTTTATTTTCAACTCTCAATGCTCCCCTGTACCAATTTTACTTTCTAGTGGATTATTACTCTTTTGACACTTGTGCCATTTACCATTTTAATATTTTCCCATTTCACTATTTTTCAGTTTTTTCATTTCACTACTCGACTATGTCTCATTTCTCACCCTTATCCCACACCCCCACATTTTCCATTTCCCATTTTCTCATTACTCATTTCACTATTTTACCATTTCCCATTTCCCATTTTACTATTTTATCATTTTCTCATTTCCCATTTCACTATTTCACCATTTTCCCATTCCCATTTTACTATTTTCCCATTTCCAATTTTACTATTTTACCATTTTCTCATTTCCCATTTTACTATTTTACCATCTTCCCATTTCCCATTTTACTAATTTACGATTTTCTCATTTCCCATTTTACTATTTTACCATTTTACTGCGAACAGAAATATCTAGGCAACTGACAATGAAAATTGGAGATAATAGTATGAAGTCTGATTAATTTAATCCCTTTTTCTGCATTTGACATTGATAGTGAACTATTTCTCACTAGATTTAATTGACTCTTAAATCTTTGAGGAATCAGTTTCAGAGCAATGTAAAAAGCAGATAACGATGAGGGATTAATGTTCTCATAGAACTCGTACATTTATCTGGTCTGTTTAAAAATAATGTTATCAAACTTCTTCGCTTTGATTACGAATTAATGTCAATGGTAATAATATGTCTTAACGAAACGTACTCTCTATTCACCTGTTGAAATATTTTCTTCGAAACATTTTTACAACTCAGTGTGTGTGTACATTTGATAAACTTATAACACTTAATAAATATCTTTCCAATTCCACGACGCTCGAAAAACAGATTTTTCTTTGAAACGACGCGTTTAATTACTATTGTAGGAAATGCAAATTTTTATTGTAATTACCACTCCATTTTGTCTCCAGCAGCAAAATGAACAAAATGACAGCTGAGGATTTTACAGTTATAAATTAATCATTCTATTTTCGTTTGGTCGTTGTATTCCTTTTCAGACCTAGACTGGTTAATTACAAAATAATTATCTACATGTCAATTATCTTTTCAAGCGTTTTAATCTTCACCTTTCAGCCATAAAATTGCTTCTATTCTTCACGATTATTTACAAAGTCGTATTCAGACCTGACTCTATTTTGTATCGTGTTTGTGCGAATTCTGTTGTCCAAGTTTCATGAAAGCAGACATGATTTATAATACCTGATAAATCTGTATGCAAAACAACGTACGCACACGATGGCTCAAAATCATTCGCGGCTACGTAATTCTTAGAATTCAAATCTGCAGTGTCTCGTCAAATAAAAATTCTTAATAACATTATTTTACCTGGTACACAACTCCTTTTCTCTCCCTTCTTTTCTCTTCCTCGATATCCGGCTCCATCTAAAGAAGAAAAAAAAAAATCAATTTTTGTTTATCGATGATTACTTTATCGAGTTACTTTATCACTTTTTCAAGACTGTACATAAATTTACGTAATGAAATTACGATGGACGTTCGACCTTCGTTTGTTTGTTTTTCGGAGGAACGTTTGAAATTGCTGAGTGGTGATTGAAAAAGTGCGATAATAAAATTTCGTGATAATTTCACAATAACACGGTCTACTAATAACACGTGACTCGAGACAACGGCAGTTTGACAAAACTGCTGTTGAATTGGACACGTGTTGCGAAATATGGAAATCACCTGTGGAAGGTGAGCATTGAAAATGACAACGCAATAAACTGCACTTATAATTATCGATGTAATTTTAAACTACAAGGAAATAGGAATTGATAAAAATTCATTTACTCCTTAACACACCTAGTCTAGGAAAATTTATTGATAAGAAATTACCTTGGCCTCCAAATCCACGTGCCCGTTCGAATTATTTATTCCATTCACGATACTCATTTTAATTGTTTCTAATTACAATTTCTAATTACACGACTCGATCTACTTATTTTTGCACTCGCATCTAAAGTTGATTTGATTTTCTTCTTTTTTTATATTTCAATATCAATTCGTCTATTGTCTCTTATTTTCCACCGAAATTCGATCGATTTACAAAGCACTCTGGTGTTTCTTCCTTTATTCAAGTTCCCAGGATCCCATAATTTCCCATATACCTAAAAAGAAGCTCATCAGCCAAACGTCCCCAAAGAAAACCAATAAGATCTTTTTCAGGAGCAAGCAATTAACCTTTCTCAAATCAAAGAAGCCCTTGTTCTCGCGTTCCTCTGCCTCCCATAAATTCATTTCAATTGGAAATTCGAAGTGAAAATTTTTTACTGAAAATTTTCACTCATCCTCTTTCTGATATTTTGATATTAGCCTTCTCTTGCTGTTATTCTTCGAATTTTCTGTAAGCTTCCAGCATCCGGAAGAAAACAATTTTCAATTTTCTCACCTTTCTTCAGAAACTCTTTGTCTGATTTACACTATAAAGCCAAGACGTAGGTATCGAAACCGTGGTACACGTATAGTAGGCTGTTTCGCAAGCAAAGTCGTCTGTAAAACGATCTTTCGAAGGTTTACAATAAACGACACTGGATCGTAGCCGATGCAATAGTCACTCGTAGACTCGTTAACCACCGAATGCAAAAGTCTGATTTTATCCTAGGTCGAAGACGTGCGGTTCCTTCGTTCACGATCGTTGAGGACCATTCACATCCGCGGCCGCGTCGCGATATTCCGCTTCTGTCGGCACGCGATGGCGCGGAATCGTATATGAGGCCGGTGAATTCCTCGAGATAAAGGAACCGATTGCGTAAGACGATCTTCTGTTTGTTCGAACCTCCCGGGTAGCTGCGTGGGAAACTGAGACCAGCTGATCGAACGAGCTGAGGTATTTTCTTTCGATTTCGAATATCGATTTTCTTTTTTCTTAAATTGTATGTCGACGAAGCATCTTGATATTTCTTGACGTCAAAATGTATCGATACCATTAATTCTTCCGATAAGTTAAGGATTTCTTTAATCGATAGTACGTAAAAGAAATGAATGAATGAAGATTGCAAGAGAAATAAATGGTTGGTGACGGGTTTGGGAAAATTGTGCTTATTTTTGAAAATCGCTTTCTGCTATCATCGTTATCACTGATATTTGACGAATATGTTAATTGATGTCTATCTGGTATATTTTGACCATTTTATAGTCAACTTCGTAGATAAAATAATGATACTCATTATTGATTTTATCGCATCGAGATGAAATTGAGGGCAGTCGTATCTGATTAACAGATATTAATCGTTAAACAGCGAAGCGTACGTCAATTGTGTCCCAAATTTACAAAACATATAAAAATATTAATTTTTAAGAGAACAGTGTAAAATTCAAGAGACGAAAATAATATGAAATTGGGGCTCTCTCCATGGTCCGTCGTCCGTGGGTTAACAGAAACAGAAATAAACAAAGTTGCGCCAGAGGAAAGATTAATAACTAAATATCATTATCCGTTCTATTATAAGCGACAAAAATAAAATGCAATCGCAACGAAGTATTAGGAAGACATTATCTGTAAATACAATGAAGCGGAAGTAGCAATAGCAGATTTTCTCTCGTTTAATCGAACAGACCTTGGATCGCTGTTGCAGATTCCAGCTGATCGTCGGTGTATCTTCACGGATCAAGAGGCCAGTCTGTGACACATTAAATTAAACCGGATTAAGATGATCGATACATTAATCACCCCTTAAATCATCTCTTTTCTTAGTCGCATCTGCGTTAGGGGATTATATCTTTTTTCGACGATGACACGTCGAACTTCCTACATGATTCACACAGTTGAACATTCATTGTCTCGTCTTCCGAAACACATTCTTCCATAGTAAGACAGTTGAAGTTACACAAGTGGCAATGAACTTAAACGAAGCTAAGGGAATCGACAGAAACATCCAGCTTAATTAAAGTTAATTGCGACGTTAAACAAATAAGCCGCGAGAAGGAACAACGTATAAATTGGATAATTTTCTTCGCGATAATCGTCTCGAACCGTTTGCCTGGATGTTTTATTTCATTTATTTTAAGCTTTATCATTTCAGTCTCTGCTAGTTCAATAAATTTTGTCGGTAAAGGAAAGGGTGGTATTATGGAGCTCTGCTGGTAATTTAGCCCCTTCGGTGATTCTTCAATTGTTTTTCTTTTACTCTTATCTTTTGTTAGAGATAACCTTATCAGTTTATTTAATTAAAAAAAAAGTTCAAGTAGTTTATTTTATGAATCAGATTTCATGCAGGAATAAAACTGGTGGGCCATGTTACCACCCCCTCCTCTATTTTCTAAATGGAAGCTGAACTTCATCAAGCATATCCCTCATTAAATATTGGAACAAGCAGATTAATAAGGCAAGATTCTTCATCAATGCCCTACCTACTAACAACTTTTATATCTTCTGGACCAACCGAACGTCCGGTCCGAGTTTGCTGATCGTCGACGTTAGACACTGATCGTCGTTTCTCTTCTCCCTTTTTTATTTTTACCTAATGTTTCGTGTCAATAGATGTAGAAGGTATGCTGACGAGGCAGAGAGGAAGATCGACGTCGCCGAACACTGACCTCCCTCTACTACTCGGCTGTGTCCTTGGCCTTGAAACCAGAACGTGTTTCGGGAGATGAAATCCAACCAGCAGCACAGGTGGAACGATAATTGCTTGGCCGTCATAGCGAACGTAAGCCTTGCCTTTACTTTCGCTCCATTACGGAATCGGAGAACGCCCGAGTGAAGAGCAATCCTGTGCGTTAGGTAAGCTGAAACATTCTTTCCTCCTTTTGCCATAATCGCTCGAATGAAATTACCTAGGGAAAAGTGAGGAATTTCTTTATCTTCTTAACGTCAATTTTCAAAAATTCTTCTTTCTTCGTTAAAAAGATAGTCTTTAAAAGGTCTCTACTTAGGTAGGCATATAAAAACTTTGTAGGGTGAGTCGTGGTTCAGCTTATGGTACAACTTCAACCCCCACGATTGGTAATAATTAAATATAGTCTGAAAATTAAAATTCTTTCTTTTCAATTTTTCAATTTTATTCGACCTGTGAACCATAAAATACTATAACCATGTATGAATAGACAAGTGAACTAATTGAATTTAGTAGACAAATTTAATTGCATTTAGAATATTTTTAATAATCGAAGATTTTATCAGAGATGAACAATATAGAGGGTTTAACATATTTGTTCTCTGATCAAGATATATTATTAATGACTTTTTTTAATAAATATGAATTCGTTTAAATAAATGCATAACATAGCTATGAAACTAATCAAAAAATACTGACTTTAAGTATATACGAAAAGAAAAATCTTTCCTTCATCTATTAATAGTGGTTATTTACAGTATTACTGATGGTGTGCAGACGATAATTATATTTTAATTGCAAAATTAAGTTGCCTGAAAGAGTAGTTTCAAATTCAACCATTACACCATCTGTTCAAAAACGCCGGAAACTATTCGATAACTTACCGATTGATTATCCAAAATAAGGAGAACTAGTGGCGCTACCTGTTAAAAGGGGTAGTAGCAGCTTGTTGAGTTATCGATCGAACGCCCAGCAGTCGGTAAGTTACCAGCACCATTTGTTCAACAAAAATAATAAAAGTTACTTGCCGTTTCATTATTGAATTATCAATCAAATTTTCTGTAGTCAAGATTTATTGTTAAGTTGTGTCCATTCCATTTTAATAGCTTATGCCTGATGTCTTACCGACTGTCGGAAGCTTGACCGATAATACCGACAAGAGACTCTCTCTTCTCGATACTACAGCATTCGGCTTCGATTCTTGGTTATAACTGTACCGACCCCTGCTGACTTGACGTTCAGTTGTCGGTGCTGGGCGGATTGCAGGTTTCAGGCGCTTTTTACTCGAATTTTTAAACGTTAATTACTGGAAAACAAAGCCGCAAACGCTATTTCGTTATTCTTGATTTTCGTCTTATTTTGATCCCTAGAATCACCCCTTAAAATTTTGCCCACCTGTTGTCGATCACCCTGAATATGTATACATACCCCACATTCAATAACTGTTTGATCTTTAATAAATTATAAACATAATATACATGAAAATCAAACTTCAAACACAGTAATTACTTAAGAATATGAAAAATTTGACCTGGAAGAAGGTGCGACCTCCTCAGTCTTATACCGACAGCCGAGGGATGTGGATCAACTTGTCAAATACACTAATTTCCTTTCGGAGTTTATTTAATTTACTTTATTCATTTCCTTTGCTTACTAAATAAGTTCATCAAAGGGGAATAATATTTATGATTTTACCCCTCTTCTGAGCCTTGGTTTTTCCAGTTATTTATTATTTTATCCCTCTTCTGAGCCTTGGTTTTTCCAGTTATTTATTACTTTATCCCTCTTCTGAGCCTTGGTTTTTCCAGTTATTTATTATTTTATCCCTCTTCTGAGCCTTGGTTTTTCCAGTTATTTATTATTTTATCCCTCTTTATAGTCCAAAGCCAATTCTGTTCAGTTATTATCCTTCTTTATGGGTCGAGATCCACGCTTCCTAATTATATATTATTTTATTTCTTTTTATAAGCCTCACGGGGATCACCCTTCCCAGTTACTTATTATCCTATTCCTTTTTATGAACCAAGGCTTCCCATCGCAGTTATTTATTTTTTCATTCTTTTCATGGGACTTGAGGAGATTACATCTTTGCATCACTTACGTCTCTGCATCCCTTACATCTCTACAACAGTTACATTCCTGATTTCTTTATATCCCTGTAACTCTTACATTACTGCAGTCCTTACATCATTGCATCCCTTTCATCCCTGTATTCCTCACATCTCTGCATCCCTCATATTCCTGCATTCCTTACATCCCTGCAAACCTTATACCACTGCATACACCCGCATTCCCAAACTTTTTGCAAAATTTAGTCCCCCTTTCAACCACCAGATGGCGCTGATTCGACGCCGAAAATTTAGTTCAAATTTTTGCCGCTAGAGGGCCAAAATATCTGCAAAATTTAGTTCCTTTTTCAACCACCAGATGGCGCTGATTCAACGTCGAAAATTTAATTCAAATTTTTGCCGCTAGAGGGCCAAAATTCTTGCAAAATTTAGTTCCTTTTTCAACCACCAGATGTCACTGATCCAACGTCGAAAATTTAGTTCAAATTTTTGCCGCTAGAGGGCCAAAATATCTACAAAATTTAGTTCCTTTTTCAACCACCAGATGGCGCTGATTCAACGACGAAAATTTAGTTCAAATTTTTGCCGCCAGAGGGCCAGAATTTTTGCAAAATTTAGTTCCTGTTTTTATCGTCAGGGAGCGCTATGATGGGATGTCGGGGCGGCAGAGATGTAAGGGTTGCTGGGATGTAAGGGATGTAGAGATGAAAGGGATACAGGGCTGTATGTGATGCGGAGATGTAAGAGATGCAGAGATATAAGGAATGCAGGGATGTAAGGAATACAGGGCTGTAGGTGATATAAGGGATGGCCCAGCCGGGGGGGATAAAATAAGAAAGAAAAGGCATGGTCAGCCGAGGCCCATGAGAGGGATAAAATTATAAATTTCATCCCGCTTATAAGCTTATTCAATATGTTATGAAAGTAAGTAAAGTAAATTAAATGATCTCAGTAAATAAATTAAAGGGGAATGTATGTTTGATATATAGATCTGCACCCCTCGGCGGTCGCTGTAAGAGTGACTAGTTTTCATCTCGCTCTAGGTCGAACTGTTTCCCCTCTGCCAGGACCGGCCACGTTTACTGGAATGTTTTTTTGTTTTTTAACGTGGGGAAATCTTACATAAGACCCTCCACCATCCCCTGTGGGAGGGCGGCGGAGGAGTGTCAGATGCTTACTGACTAAAACCCCACGGCGACCAGCACTGGCGCTAAAGAAGGGATAATTAGTGTCCGAATAGTAAGTGTCTACTTACTGCTCCCGTCGTTCTACCAGCATATGAGAACTCATTATTCTCTTTATTATACATTATACGAAACGATGTTTAATTAACAAAAAAAAAGATAATGTTCAATTAAAGGAAACAAAATGAAGAAACGTTCAAAATCATAGATTTTATATTAAACAATAAAACACTATCCTCCTCCTGACTTTGGTTACAATTATTTATTTCCATTGTCCTCTTTGGCTCCAATACATATAATACTTGATATATAATGATTCAGTAATGTTCATTAAATACGAAGTACGAAACCTATTTACTCTAAATTCGTCTACAATCGGTACCTTTTTTTTTTTATTCGTCATACAATATCGTCAATACAAATGAAACGTTCGGTAATAAATTATTAGGTAGGTAAGCGTTATTTATCATTAATTTTTTTTTTTTTTTTGGTTTCAATCATCTCTCACACACGTTCACTCCTTCTCTCAATCGTGCTAATAATTACATAGAATCGTACGAAGCTTAGAACCGAACCTTCTATCGGATCAAAAAACGAACCATTTCGAAGAAAGTTCACAACAGAAATCTCGCGGCTGTCCAATCGATCGCCTTCGTTTTTATAAAATGATCGTTAACGAGGAAACGTTTCAAGCATCGATGGGAAGACCGTATGAACTACGAGAAGGCGTTCATCAAACACGAACGAACGAATTTTCTGTGTGTACTTATGTGTGTGTGAAAAAATCATCGAATGATTTTTCATCGAGCGGTCACGGTGAAAAGAAACGACACGTTTTTGTATTTAATGAATTTTAACCCCGCATTGTGCTACGGCCATTTTTTTGTTTGTTTTTGTTATTGTGTTTCTTTATTTGGTGACAATCACAGCCCCACGTTGAACGAAGAGAAAGAAATAACGACCGAATATGGAATCTTTCGTTTTGCTTGGTATCGATAGCATTTCCAAATTCGTACAGATCCTCTTTTCATTTCTATATTTATATTTTTCTCGCTATTGAATTCTATCGATGCTAAAAAAGTCATACTATGGGTGTCTATACGTGTTCATATAATTTTAGCGATTTAACGACACTTTTGAAATCCTTTCATTTATAGTAAAAGTTGGATAAATACCCAGGCAGATCCATTGGACAGTTTCCGGTAAGCATCCCCAACACCTAGGGGATCATCATTGAAGAACTGTGAAGCTGATCTGAACTGGAATATCGATGAGACAATACTAATGCAACAACAAAACCTTTTGATTTTCAATTTGTTTTTCAATAAAACTTTTACTAGTGCAATGGTGAGGTTCTTTTGATTAAAACAAGACCCAACATGATATAATTTGAAGCATACTTACTTATTACCTTAAAAAGGGAATAAGCAAATATGCTTGAAATTATATCGTGGTTGGTCTTATTTTAATCATAAGAATCTCACAGTTGTATTGGTAAATGTTTCATTTAGCAAAAATAAAAAATAAAAAAGTTTTTCAACTTAATGTAATTTAGAGTAGTTATCCAACTTCTGCTGTAATTTATTTATGAGAATTTGTATTCTTTTTTAGTGGTAATGTAGTGAAATGTGGAGTAAGAAGATTGTAAGAATGTGCAATAGAATTCCGTTTATCTTTACTATATTTTTATGAACAAATTAATCTAAAAAATTTGTAACTTTAATATTTCACATAAATATTTGGCGTCGTTGGCGTAAACGTAAATTTTATTAATAATTTTCTTGCAAATGTTCACGTTATATTGATGTGGGAAACTAGATACCATATTTCACCTTAATTTCTTTGCAATACATTTTTCAATTCCTATTCTATTAAACAGAGTTCTACTGCAGAAATTGATCAAACTATAAGAAGAAATGTTGATTTATTATTCGAGTGGTAAAAATAATAAATTTCAAAGAAACATTGAATTAAACTACTGATTTCAATATTCCCATATTCCCATATAAATTTTAATACTAAACAAGCTCGAAGTAGATTAGACAAAATCTTGGATAATTTCGAGAAAACACGTCATAGTAATTTTTATAATAGCGTTATAGAAATAGAGAAAGATCGCTATACGACTATGTTCGTGTAAGATTTTATATTTTGCGTTCAATTGACCGTCTTTCATGGATACTGAGACATCAGTCCCAAAAATGTGACATAACAAATGGCTACTTTTTAAATTCTTTTTTCACTTTGTAAACTCGCGTCTAATCGCAGAAAAACTACAGTCGTGATTTTGGCATCGTTCAGTCGCGTATAATAAAATGTAGAAAAATCTATATTTTATTCGATCGTGCTTTGACATCACGCACTTATAATTCTTTTGGATAAAATCGACGAAAGATAAAGCTTACGATTTACGTAGGTGTTTTGTAAGTGTTTATGTATGTTACTTTTTTCTTTATTTCTCATTAAATTCTAGATTAAGAGTCAAATCCGTCGAGATACATCAAAGAGAGATAGACTTTTATCTACTGAATCAGCTATTCAACGAACTATCGGTGTCTTTTCATCGATATATTATATAAATCGCTATAAGCTCATATATATATGTATATATATAATAAATATATATTATATTAGATGAATTTTGTTGAGTGATTTCTCAAACGTGGATACAAAGAGTTTTTCTTTATTATTTAAAAAGGAGACAATTCGAGTAATTTCTTTTCGCTTATCCTTTCGATTTTCTATATTAATTTAATGCACGTATTATTGGTATATCAGTGTGATTAATAATATTACGACTGAGAATTGAAATAGCCTCGAGAAATTTTCGCGTGAGCTGTTCTATGAGCGAGAAAATATATTTTCAGAAGATTATGCAAAGTTTGCGTTGACGGCACAACAATGTCAGTTTTCTGTTTTTTTTTTCTTTCATGAAAGAAAATTGGTAATCCAAGAATTTCTTTCGTTTTCGTACAAGAAATATATTACTATCGCGTTACGTATTCTTATCAATTAATTAGCATTATTCGTTTAATAGTAAATTACCATGCTCATCGTCAAAAGTAATCGTATGATTATATTTCAAATTTTAAGAGATTAAATATATGTAAATGTTTTTTTGTACTTTCTTATAAAATTTGCATAGCGTATATATATAACTGTTAATTTAGCACTGTTTAAAATTCTGATTAAAATAATTTTAGAGCTATTGCAAAAAGAGATTACTGCAATTGTAGCGCCATTAACACTCACTTTAATTAACAATTCGTTCGTTAAATGAACGATTGTTCGATGGTTCTTTCTCTTTCAGCCAGAAAACTATGAAAAATCTTTGATCCATTGAATTTAATTGGATCACGATCGAGTAATGTTAAAAAATATACCGATTCCAACTATCAATTGCGACCGTATCATCGGGATTAAGAGTTCGCTATAACAAATGTGAAAGTAATTACCAGAAATTATTGTCATCGATATTTGTCTAGAATCGTTAACTAACTAATCGTCATCTAACGTAGGACATTAACAGACAGATCTGAACGACGGTATGCGAAGCGCGAGTATTATATTTAACGATTCATTAAAATATGGAAAGACTACGATTGTGAAATTTATTGTTCGCGGTTAGCAAATATTTGGATATTCGACTTGATTGATTAACAATGGAATAGATTTTAATTAATTATAATATAGCAATTTCAGTTGTAAATTATATGGGTTATAAATCTATGCAATTAATTCGTAATTAATTAAATAGATCATTTAGAATAAATAATTACATAGATCCCTAATTAATCCCTAATTGCATGGTGTTGATATTAAGCAACATTTTTATATTTTTTAATGATATAATATAATAATAAAAATAAAATTAATATGACTGACAAAAAGAAAATTTTGCAAATTAAACATTACAATATAATTAAAAGTAATTTTACCAATTAAAAATGATCGAACAGACGAATATCCAATTATTTAATTATCAAGACTATGAACATTCCTCAGCTAATTTAATTTCTATGTCCGCTCTTTTTTATCGTTTTTTAAAAATTAAAATTGGGGATGATTGAACATCGGATCATCGGTAATATTACACCACAGGCACGAAATAGTCCAACTAACAGCAGTCGTCTCTATTCGTTAATTACATAGTATTTATGTGTATGTATATTAATAATTACGATTTGCACTATATACTTCGTTCGTTACCACTAGTGTCGGTTTATTTTTTCATTTCATCGGAGCGCAGAACAGCCACGAAGCGAACGTTTACGTTCCACAGGCGTGACACGCGTGTTTCGAGTAAAAATTTGTTCACCTTTAAAAGAGATAGGCACAATCGATGGCAACGATGAGCTTTCGGGAAAAAAAGTATCTCGCGTTGCTTCGATCAGTCGTTCTTGGATTATTAACCCTTTGAGTGCCCAACTTAAGAGTAATAACTTTTAACACTTACGCCCTTATTCCACTTATCTGATTGATTTACTAATAAAACTCCCTTGTTAAAATATATTTTTAGGATTGCCATCAACTTAAAAGATTTGAAATAATTAATACCTGTTGATAATAATATTGTTAGGGCGACAAATATTTGCAGTTCTAAAAGTTTTATGCACAGATATGCATAAAAATTCAAACGTATCTGCTACAAAGCTAGCAATGATTGAAAACACCAGAAGCAATCATTATCAGTTGCTTACAGTCCCACACTCAAAGGGTTAAATTCGGTTAATTCAACGAGTATCCCATTTTTCCCCCTCACAGTTTTACTAAATGGTTTTTCCATCTACGACAGGTTCTAGCTGTTCAGATTACCAGGAATCTTCAAAGTTGATTTACGTATATCAGAAAAGTGTTATCCTGCAACGAACAAATGAAATTCCTCGAATACCTAATCGTCATTTCAAGAATTGAGGTAGAATTATACACGGGTAAATTCGGGACAGTGTACCTACGAAATGCTTGAAAATGGAAATGAACAAGAAATAATTATTCCGCGAGCTTGAATATCAAGAAGCTTCAATGAAGCGTAATGTCACGATTATGTGAATACTAAGAGCGTGTAACTCCGAGTCGTTATTGTTAATGTTATTGTTACATGTCTAACGATATTACCGATTACACTTACAAACTGACTCTATTCAACGACTAGAAATCCGATCATCTATGTGTACTTACTATCACCACTGCTTTACGCTAATATTCGAGATGAGAACTCCATTTTGGATAGGAAACAACAAATTCGACCTGACACGAAGCTGTATCTGTAGATCTTGGAGGAATGGTTAATTGTTGCTTGATTATTAAAATATTTAAGTTGCAATATGAAGTACTAAGCGTAATGAATTTTTAAAGAGTATCAAGATCTAAATTTGAATAATAATAAATTATTGCTTTGCAAAGAAAATTAGTTGCAGTAAAGGTTTTTTATTCAATAATAGTATTATTTATAAATTTCCAAAATTGCAACATGAAATTCTGAACGTAGTGGATTCTAGAATTCTGAAAGCACAAAGGTCAACATTTTAATAATAATAAACTACTGCTCTGTAAAGAAAATTAATTTAGCTAGGACCTTTGATTCCCTAATATTATAAAAGAAATTTCCTAATTGCAATACGAAACTCTGAAAATAGTGGATTCTAGAATTCTAAAAGCACAAAGGTCAACATTATAATAATAATAAACTACTGCTCTGTAAAGAAAATTAATTTAGCTAGGATCTTTGATTCCCTAATATTATAAAAGAAATTTCTAAATTGCAATATGAAACTCTGTAAATGGTGGTTTTTAAAATTCTAAAAATACGAAGAATCAAGTTACCTATTTTCCATAGACAATTAGTGAAAAATTAATAAAATGAATCACCGTTTTTCATACGTAGATCTAGCAGTCGAGCTTCGTGGATCGTTGCTAGTTGATTAACGATACCTATGACCCCACCAATCAGACACGATTCGATTAACGACAAAAACTGAACCCTCCTTCTCTCTTACAAAATATTTGTGCCGTTTTATACAAAAAGAAAAACTTAAACTTACCCCCCCCCCCCCCCGTCCTTACGAGCCCTACTCTAACGACCGCGAAATAAGGTATGATACAGAGTTTGTACAAACGCGTCGCGTATGTGTTTACACAACTTACATTCCTGCGAGATTATACGCGTACACGCTCTACGAAATCCGCGTAATTACACTCTAGGAACATCTTGAGGACTCCATCAACGTCCTCTAATTCGAGGCTTCCAATTTACCCCTCGTTTCGTTAATTTCGTTTGAATTTCATCGATCGAATCAGTCGATTTCTCGAGACACAAAGTATGCTTTAATTGCTTTAATTACAATCGCAAGCAATAATCGACTAAAACGATCGGTTTCTAGACCACAGAATAATCTGCTGGTATATTCGCATTCTTTGTGCCAACTCTGTATAATACATACAGAATCGATCCTCTATATTAATAGATAGATTAGATAGATAAGATAGATAGTTGTAAGTACGAGAAATGCATGACTGGTCGACGTTTAGCTCGCTTGAACTTAAATGTTCTATGTACAAACGCTTTCGTCCTCGTTTCATTCGATTTTCATTTTTCTTAATATAATCTACGTTAAAATCACCCTCACTTCGCTGTTTTTATAATCGAGTGATTTTAAACGTCTTCAACCAAGCTTCCATCGGGTGAAAGCTGGTACTTGATCACGGAACTACTTTTCAATTAATAATAGTGATAAGACACTATCGACGTGAGGTGTAAAAGATTCGACGTTTATTGTCGTGTACAAAGAACAGCTCGATACATTATTTTTTGAATTGTCAATAGTAATGTCCCGGTGAAATATAAAATACGTGGCGAGTTGTTCTTCGTGCAAGATCGTTGATAATGGTGATTAACCCTTTCGGTACGACAAAGCAGAGTTTTTGCTTTTTTTTAATTACTTAATTAAATTTTATGGAATAAAAGTGTTAAGCTTTCCACTCGCTACTTTGCGTAATTAATATATCACTGATGCTACTTAACATTTTTCTTTTTTTTTAATATTGAATTTTTTAACGACTAGAATTACTTTTCGTACCAAAAAGGTGAATCGGTCTCGATTTTCGGACAAATGAATCCGAATTTCATCAGCGGTTTCAAAGACGACTCTGCGCGAGTATTTCAATCGCGAACGCGAACAGCTAGTTTCGTTCGCTTCTCGATCCTCAGAACCGCAAGGACTCGAATTGAAAAATACATGGAAACGTGGAATCGAGAAGCTGAACCGCATCTACGCTTAACGGGTCTCAAAACCACGAGATTTCGAGATTAGTGAGCCAACGTGTCTTTGCCACAAAGTACGTCCCTGACCGCCCTGCTGCCGCCCCCAGGTCACCCTCTATTACCATCTCCTGCCCCATCGTTTCTGAACCGTGCTCGATCATGGTTTCTTTTTTACCATTCGCAATGTTTGCAGCCTACGATACACGAGTGCGAAAAGCAAACATCTGATAGTCAATTGTATTTTTCGCAAAATCATTCAGTGATGAGCGTGGAATCTGATTTAGAGATCAAATAATACCTTTAAAATATAATAATCATAGTAAAAGGATTCATTGTAACCCACACTAAAATTAAACGATTAAATTTTCAAATTCACAAAATAGTTTTATATTGCAAGGATAATAAATAGAAAATTTCGAATTTAAAATTAAATTTAAACTCTAAATTATTAATTTTTTTTCTATGATTAAAAGAGTATTGTAAAACCAGCTGATAAAGGTATTATCAGAGCTCCCTAAAATTTATGGTACTTTAATTTTTAATAAAATAATTCAGATCCCACCCTTTTCCACGCATAGCTGATGCACACGTAATAAGCAAGATTGCCTGGCTACACAAATACATCTTGCCAGACAAGCTAATTAGCGATATATCAATCAAGGAACCCTCGTACAATCACTATCAAAATTCTCAATATTCATTAACAATATTCATTGTAGTCGACAGAAGCTCCATCAATCCTAAAAATATTTTACTTTCAATATTTATTGATCACCTAAGGGTTCCTTTGGACGTTCAAAGCAGATCTCGAGAAGCATTTCAATTAGCAGCACGCTCGCGTTAACGAGTATAATTATAAAGATGAAGAACAGTTGAAAAGAATCGGCGCTTGTAGGAATTCTTTGAAGATCAAAGTTGGTGAGACGCTTAAAATGGAAGATGGCCTCTATTAATGGTATTCACCTCTAAAAGGCACTCTCCGATCGACAAACCGAATTATTATTGTCGTTGCACCAACTCTTCTACATGGAAGAACGATTCCTCTGCGCGTGAATTATCATTGCCATTTCGGAAGCCATGGGTTTAATTAACGAAGAAGAGGCTCGTTAACGATGAAACGCGCTGCCGTCGCATTTTATTTTGCTGCCGTTTAAATTCGTGAAATTCGAAACAGCAGCAAAATCATATCGCCCGGAAAAGAGGCTTACAGAAACGTACTATTTACGCAGATTATTGGCTTCGACAAAACGGCTTCCAGTTAAAGCAACCTAAAGCAACTATTTAGCCACGGGTGTTGATTTACCTCAAGCAGCTCGCGTTGTTCGCTTAGAATGTCAGTTGTTTTGATATGGCTGCATTATTGCCACCGAAAACACATCGAGTTTCATCGTGGAATGTGATTTTTCATACGGATCACGGGTCGCACGATGAAATTCGAGTGGAAATTTTCCACGCTGAATCCGTTCGTTTCGAGTGACGTTAATTCCTGTCTCGTTTAGTTTAATTAGATGGGTCGTGTTCGGGGCGATTATATTTTCAACGGCCGCGTCGATCATTCGACAATTTCTTAATTAGTGAAATTTTCAGCTAATCAGCGTAAATTAGCGAATGACGTAAACGAGGTCACATGATCGGACGCGTACGTTTTGGTGCAAAAATGAAGCGTGCCTAAGTTACTCGTCGTTATTTCCTTTTTATAAAAATCGTGTCCTCGTTTCGGAAAGACCACGAATCTTCTATATTGAGCAACGCAGAAACGTGTGTTGTAGCTAGTTCGGCTGGTATATTTAGCTTGTGCTCGAAGCGATTTACGTATTGAAACGTACACGTCGACGATCTAATGATAGTCTATTTGAAAATCATCATTATTTTCATAGATTACGAAGTGGAGAGAAATTCAGTGTGCTTCGAATATCGCGGTTAAACTTATCATCTATGTATCTCTTACGTTAATCATGGCTACCAGTCGACTGGCTCCAATAGCACCGGTATACTTCACTTTCTCCAACGAAAGGCTTGTCCAAGATTGTTTATCTTTTTTTTCTCAAAATTATGCCCAGTTGGATCGTTCTTTCATGCTCTATCGAAGATTTTAATCGAGAGCAATTTGAATGTGATTTTGGAATGAATCTTATTGAATTTCTTCTTTCCAAGGGATTTTATGGCACTGTGTTGGATATTGTAATATTTCTTCAAATATTTAGGACGTGTGATTTTGTAAGAATGTATATAGTTTATAGAAAAAGCTTAGAGGTTGATGGTGTCGGTGATATTTCAAGTTATACTACTTGTTTTTACATTAGCTCTACTTTCGGATGGCGGACCATGGAGAGATCCCCAATTTCATATTACTTTCATTTGAAGGGTTAAAAGGCATCAGATTTTAGACACATACCTGTGAATTTTTGTTGTATTATTTAATGAAATTTTGATATTGCCAATCATCAATAATTAATTACCATATGGTTCTCACGTTGATCTTGGCGGATATATTTCAGACAATACTACTTTCAAATAATTTGATTCCACTGAAAAGTGTTATCAATGACTTATATTGTACTTAAGATGTTAAAAACCACACGAACGACCTTTTCAAACATAAAAAAGAAGAAGCAAAAATCCCTTGGAAAAATATCGAAATTCTGTTTAACGAACGAGTACCAAGGGTCTCTGTAGAGAGTCCTTGAGGCCTCGACGTGTACGCTTCGCTGGGGCAGGCGAGGGTTCTTCCTAGAAAAGTAGAAAGGAAACCCGGGTGCGGCGAGCGTCCCCCTTGGCCCGTCGGGCCATCCCAAACTGTCAGACGGACGGGTCGCTGCCGGGGGCGGAGCCCGTCTTGCTGCCGTCGACACCAGCACCGCCACCGTCGCCGTCGGCGCCTGCACCCTCTCCGCCCCTGTACGGCGAGCCGCCGGCCCCACGCGCCGACAGACCTCGGAAATCCAGGTTGTACTGAAAAATAGACCCAAAAAGTTAGATTATTAATAGCACTTATTGATACCTCTTCGATTTTTCCTAAGGAAGAAGGTTCACGGTGGTTTTCTTCCTACGTCGAACGAAAAATATCTTGAAAGTTTTGATAATAATATTAAAAATTTATCGTTTTACTTTTTACGGAAGTCTCTGGACAATTTTTGAAATGTTTGAAATTAAGAGAAATCGATGACTATTGGTCAAGGGTAATTTTTGTGTATTAATTATTAATGGATATTAATAGTAATAAACTTACGAAACATATATAAGGATATTAATCTAAAGTTAAATGTAAAGTCGTGGAAAATTTAGAAAATGAAAATAATATGAGACAGAAGGTTAAATTATAATTGGGACTCTCTCTATGGTCCGCCGTCCGAGGATTAAATTAGTGGACTGAAATACCAGATTAAAAAATTGTTTTCAACTACGTTTAATTGCTAAATGCGATTATTATGCATTAATATTAGTTACTTCATAATTACGTTCCACTTGTTTCAGTAATTATCTACTGTGAATAATGCGCTTACAAGCACATAATCAAAATCTAATTACCCTTATCTCCGTTGAATCCCAAAACATTTTCGCTCGACGTATCGATTTTCTAGTTAACATTGCAAATGAGTTCCTTTGATAGCACCCTGACTGTTAATGATGCTCTCACCATAGTAATAGACAAACATTATTATAATTATTTTGTTACAAGCTGAATAATCTTATCAAAAATCCAAAAATGAGAGGTTGTTATTTTAAAGATTGCCATTCATGAAAATCACATGTAAAATTGTTATTTCGAATAGATATAAAAATAAGCATTATTTCATGGTTATCAGAATTTCTGACAATAATTGAACAATAAAAATTTCTTTTATAAAACGTTACATTGCCCCAGTTCCTGCAAAAGATAGCTGAAAACAGTAAACTAGAGTGATTAGCAGTTGATTAATGCTATTACATATGTAATTTGTTAATCGAAGCAAAGCTTTTGATAATTAAAAATATCGATAATATTACAGTAAGAAAAACATTCAAGCAACTTACCATGACAATAGAAAGAAGCCTACGCGTAAAATGTGCCACGAAAAATAAAGCGTTAAGATGAAAAACATTTTTATGAAACGCGAATGACTGCAGACGATCGATCACCGTTTGCAAAAAAAATACATAAAACAAAGTACTGCTCCATTATCTATTTAAGTTTCCATTTTTTCAAACAAATTTCATGCTTCAACAAAATAATGGTCCCAGAAAAACGATTTATCCCCCGTTGGAATTTTATCCTCTCAACTTCGGAAGCTAAATAATTCACTTTTTCATCAACGCAAGTGCAGCAGCAGTTTCCATATACCGAGGTTCACCCTTAAACCCCTAAATTCCCAAAAAATTACGTTGCTTTCAATTTTACCGTGACCAGTGAACTCGATTAACCCAGTTCACCAGAAGAAGTTTCGCCTCGGTCGATCGATCGTAAACGGAATCGTTCGCGCGAGTTCGCGTGCAGGAAGCGACGTGAATGCGGCGATAAAGAAAAATGAAGGAAATAAAAAAAAAACCAAAGTCGAACCTGTGCAACGTAAAGAACAACGCTTCGTCGGGAATACGCGCGAGCATCGCCTTGCGACGAAGATCTGTCTCTGTTATCTCGGCAGAGTGGCGTGTCTTAAGTGCTGCAGCTGTGCGTGGTGCAGCTGCAGCTGCAGCATCTGTAGATTCTGCAGACAATTGGGTGCCTGCGGTCCGCAACTGGACGTTGCGGTCGTCGAAGAGTAGGGTAGGACCGATGGGTGAACGAAGGATGCGGAATTACGTGGACCGGTGTTAGACGTGGTAGTTGGCACGATGGACGGGCCGAAGGATGGAAAATTTAAACCTGGCGCTCTTAAGATACCGTGTAATTGGGCTGAGGTTAAAGGATGAGGATGTACGTAGGGACTCGTTGAGGGTAACAACTGCGGGCTAACCGGGTACAAGCAATCCTCTTCGCCCAGGCCGGGCACTGTTGTCGGACTGAGCTCCACGTACTGCGGCATCGTGATATTGTGCTATTCGATGAATACATGGAAGGACATGTACACACTTTAGGCGTGATACGATACACGTGACGACCTGTACGATCACCTGTGCGAATATTTGTGTTTCAGTATAATTCAATTCTAATTTGGCCCTAACGACTGTTTTTTCATTCAGTCTATTTGAAATTTTTATTTTAATATTTTTTTGGGTGGATCCGTTAGTAAATTGGTAAATTATTAAAATTGAACAGTATTAATATTATTCAAGGTTTACATTTATGTTTCATTTTTAATTCTTGATGGTGTTAAATTTATGGTGTTGGTTCCTGGTGATCAGCATGGATCCCAACACGTTAATATTCTTGATAATCCATATTATCGTGTGCCATATCATGCATGGTTATAATAACTATGATAATGAATGCATTAAATGAGAGGAAATTATGTAAATTTTCAAACATTTAACATTGAATCTGTTTTATGTAATTATGTCTGCCAACCCAAGGGTTCTGTTCCACTTGTCTGACCACATATGCTGTTATACTACTGTATACTACTATTTGTCTAATTAGTTTGCTAATGAAATTCCCTTACTGAAATACATCTTTCGGATGCTAATTAACTTGAAAGGTATGGAATAAATAATTTATGTTAATATATAACATTATTAGAGCAACAAATATTCGCACAGAACTAATTGTTTAGGATTTCAAAGTATTACGCACAGCTATACGTTTGCATGAAAATTCGAACGTATCTGCTGCTAACGCAAAGCTAGCTATGATAAAAAAATAAAGTTCAGTCTTTCCTTGTTTAAACAATAAAAATGATCATATAATTACAACAACACGATACACATAATAATAAATCAACGATAAGAATTGATATATATATTGTAAAAAGAAAGACTAAACAATTTTTCTCGACGCATAGCACAAAAATCAAAGTTAAAAATTACTGAACAAAAGACAAAACTGTAACCTGAATAAAAATAATAGTTGATCCTTGATTCTTTGAACGAAGAAAACAAGTTATGCAGATATCTTACCTTTGTGGCGCAGACGAAACATGTGGTGACCACTTTCGAAATCACGTTCATTAAATTCTTAGTCTCTTGTATCACGTTATCGACTTTCGTAAATGTGGCGGCTTTCCCGACTGTGGGATTCTTCACGGTGAATTGAAGTTGTTGAACATATGTCGGCACACGGTCGAGATTTTCCAGAAGTTCTTTCTTGTGCGGGCCCCCTGGTACCTGCGCCCATGCAACATCGTATACAAACTTACATTTTCATTCGTATCGCCAGGCAAACGTGCTTGCATAATGTTTACAACGATTTCTATTAATTAAAGTTCAAAATACAACGATAATTAATAATATAACAATAATCATAAGAAATGGTCTAATAGATAATTTTAGGCTTAAATTTAATTTGATTTTATATTTCAGAAATTGAACTCTAAAATTTATAATATGACACATTTTTTCAAGAAGATAAATAATTATTTTTATTTATAGGTAAATTATAATTATTTTTTTATTAAAATTGCACGAGTGAAAATTGATTGTGTTTTATTTCTCTTAAAAATGTTTCAAATGTATAAAATTGAATAATTAAATAATTAATATTGATAAAGAAAATATTTTATGATATTATAATCATTGTAAACTATCAATCATATTTGCCCAGCGAAATAATTTATACATATGTAGCGTTTCTCAATGACTCTTCAAAGCAATGCCTGAATTCTATTTTTCATTGATTGTCTAGTAATAAATACTTTCAAATACGTATATATATATATATATCTTGGATATTTATAAAATTGTATCTAGTATAATTAGTTAACAAAAAAAAGATTTCTATTCATCCTAATAGAAACACAATGCAAAAGTTTGAAACGGAAAGTGTAAATTGTTTGAGAAGAATATTAGAGAGTGATTGTGTGAATGACAGTGAAATAGTACAGACCTTGTTGTTTTTGCTAGCTTCTCTGACATTCATTAATTAACTCTTTATCAAGATCAATTAACACATTATAAAAACCATCACAGCTAAGATGAATTTTACAAGTAATGTATTAATTAAAAGAGCTGCCTATTTTAAATTATTCCCAGTATTAAATCTTTCATTAGAATCAATTCGTCACTCGTAATTTTCTAATTATATTAATATTTAATTACTTCAAATCTGATGCATAATGTTAGAATTTTAATACTGAAGACATTTATAGGGTATAAAATGAAATATTTTACGAGAAGATTTTCAGAAAATATTTCAAATTAAATATTGTTGAAAAAGCAAATGGTATTTTGAAAAATTTTCACAAGCACATCATTGTTATTTTAAATTTCTAGCAAAAAACATTTGCATAACTTGGAAAAACAGCTATCAGAAATACTAATATGATAAAATTTCATCTTAGCTGCTTGTTAATAAAAAAAATTCATGAAAATCAGAAATCAGAAGCTGGCAAAAACTGAGACATAATAGTCATGCCCCAGATAGTGGAAGGAGGGGGACCACAATGCACATAGACGTCGTCCACAGACGGAAGCATTCCCGTAGCATCTAAAACACACCTTACTAATCGTACACAAAAAAGTCGTAAATGTACGTACACAAAATAGATTTACCAACAAAATAATGATTATAGTTAATCTGACAGTATGAAACGTGAGATTCCAACAGTGGTAGCTCGTCTAATTTTCAAAACGAGAATCACGTTCCTCCAAAATCAATTATCCAAAAGTCTAAACAAATTTCTCAGCTACACTTCAATAAAATAAACAATAATTATTCTCATTACACATACAAATTGAATAAAGAGTAATCCTTGTCATTTCAAATTTCCATTACATAAAATCTTGACCCATGAATATTTCAGACCATTATAAACTTTTCTTTTCCAATACGTTAATATTTTCTTAATCAATCAAATTACCTAATGAGAATGATCTTACTCTGGTACAAATTACTCTAAACAAAAAATGAATGAAACGTTCTTTTCAAACGTGCTTTTCCTCTCTGGTAAGTACAAAATTAACAGAAAGATGTAATTACACACTACATTGTTAAAAAATGAAACGATTGTTAGGATGATTCATACCAGGTGTCACGGATCTTGCATAGCATTACTGTGTATAATAAATATGTATAACAATAAAGAAACAAGTGTAGTGATATGAGAATAGAAACGACAACATTTAAACACAGCAACTGGAACAATGAATTCGTCAAAAAAGAAAATGAAAACACGAGCGGTATATGTATTTATATATAATGCACGGCAATGAGAACGATCTGTACAAGGCGAACGTGATCTCTATGAGCCCAACAAGGGTCTAAAGTAAAGAGAGAAAGAGTTTACCTGGATGGAGGCATTCAAAGAGCGAGGGTCAAAAAAGGGTTTCATAATACAAGAATATATTACAAGGTTAGCGTTTCTGTTGATTTCTTTTAAAGAAGAGTATAGAGAGATCAAAAAATGGTTTCAGGTAACTATATATATATTTCGCCTAGCTAGGAGGGTCGAAAGGGCAGCAAACGTGTTAATTCGAACATGTCTAATGCTAATAGCTCACGCTCGAGTTACTTCCAATCCACTTTAAACATTGTTCCAACCAATAACTTCCAGATTCTTTCATTTATTGATTGAGAGACTAAATTTTTCATTAACGCATCGATGGTTGCATATTTCATAGAATAAATTCTTTTCGTGTCATAAATAAAATTTTTGGTATGATAGGATTTTCTAAGTAAACTAACAAGAAATAATGAATAAATTTCCTTATATATAAAAATATTAAAAATGTTAAAAATCTGTAAAAAATTCTCAAAGTCTTAATTTTGAAGATATTAAATTTTTAAAACCCCAATTTTGAAATCATTAATTTATCCAAGTGGTCAAAGTATTAAACGCTTCATGAATTACATGTTGTTATGTTATAAAAAAAATATTTTTAATTTTTCCGAATGATATTGGGATTCGAAGTAACCCTCTCGCGGCGATTACGTAAAAATGAAACTGAAACAGCGAAATTCAAGTAAAAATATCTCCAATATAGCAAGGATCAAAAAACTCGGAATCAAGTCCAGTATAGAATCCGTATAATAAAAAACAATGGGTAAAAAGAGTATGATCGTAAGAAAATAAGAAGGGGGGATGTACGTGTATACGTGTACGTATATAGGCGATCCCTGTACATGTACACGTATATACATAGCATCTCAACATCAGTCCAATTAAAAAATGTGTATCACTTTGCTTTTAATCTACGCTGACCATGACAACTGCTACATACCTGATAGCTGAATTGTCTCACAACTTTGTACAATCTGTTCGCTTCCTCAGCGAAATACTCAGCTTGGGTGAACAGATCTTGGGTTGTTTTCAATGCACCCTCGCCTCTCGTGAACTGATACATAGAGAACGCCATGGACGACATGTTTTTCGCGCGTTTTACGATGTCGTTGTTCTCCTCCAGGGCGCTTCCGCTTTCCTGCCACTTCTCCGTTTCCGCGTCCATCTCGGATGTAATCAGCTTCATCTCCAGACCGGCTTTTGCGATCTTGGCCTGTTCCTCGCTGTCCAGTCGCACGGGTTTTAGGGGTTTGCTGGTGGTGCCGTGTTTCTGAAATTAAAAAAAAAGAAATAATCCTATTAGAAAAAAAATACTTGATATTAAAATTAGGCTGTTAAAATTGTTAAAAATTTCAGGAGGAATGCTGGTAAGCTACTGCAGTCATTATTCCAATCAAATTGTTAAATTATTTTATATAGGTGGCATTAGAAAATAATTTGACAATGTATACAGAATTGCTAGATCACTGAGTGTGGACGTAGCTCATGAAGGACACAAAATTATTCAAAAGCAAGGCTTATTCCACTATCAGCTCGTATTAATATTTAGTTGGACCTTCATATTAATTATGCATCCTTGCTGGTGTCGAGTAAGCTACCCTAGAGAATACTATGCATTATTGGATCGAGTCTATCATCCATTCTGCTAATTACTAAATGGACCACCTCGCTTTGAATATTAGTCATGAATAAATTAGATATAATGTATGGTAATTCTTGAATGCTGAAACGGACGATGTACTGTCGGCACGAAAGTGGAAATTCACTTACTCCTGGCCGCGGCAGGGACATGTAAACTTGTTTCTCCGGTCGATTTTGGTTCAACTCGAGCACATCTTTCGCTACTGTGGTCACATCGGTCATGAGCCATTGCCACATGTCGGTGAACACTGTAATATAAAAAATAAACAAATTATGTGAGATTTATTCTATTGGTTTCTATTGTGTTTTAGGTGTGTATGATTTACCTTCTAGGTTTTCCTTAGCGATTTTACTGGTGGGGTGTCTGGCCAACGTGTGAGCGGCTGTTACCACTTGGGGACCGTATATTCTCAAGTTGATTTCCGTGAACTTTGCTGAAACTTGCAGTGATTCCGAGAGTGCAACGTGTCTCAGCATTTTGCAAACCTGTTGATTCAAACATTAAGAGAAGATTTAAATATTTAGTCATTTATGAATCAATCTGAAGTAGGGGTGAGCCTTTTCTTAACCCTCGGAACGGCGGATCATTCACATTATTTTTATTTTCTGTTCTTTTAAAATTATTCTTCTAATATATGAAATCCTTTTATTTAAAAATTATAAATTTAATTCTAGGCTAATACCATTTGGGTCACGATTGACCCAGGCTCCTGTTCAAGGGTTAATACATAATGGTTTCAATTTTTAAAAAACAAGTAGCATTTATAAATATTATTTTTCTTTTCTTTGAAAGGCATTGTTTGTTTGGTACTTGTGCTTTATGTGAGTAAAGAAAGAAGGGATGTTTATGATAGGAGACACTCACTTCAAGAATATGATCGATGTACTCGTGAAATCTATCGCTGCTCTCTTGAAGACGATTTATGTCATTAGCCAGAGCGAGATTCCTGATGGTTGACACAAGTTCTTGTCCAGCTTTGGTTACCTGTCCAAGGTCACCAGCTTGTTCCATGGTCGTGGTGCATAGCTGCTGACGAAGATCCCTGGTGGTACGTAACACACCCAGCACAGCTTGTTCCATCTCAGAGCTTGGGGATCCACCTCCACCTTCGTAATTCTGATATAAGAAATAACAAAATCTTTCGTATTGTTATGAAAATCATATGAATCGAAATTGTGAAAAAAGTCTCTACGTTAGAAAAATTCGAACACAATTGGCTTCGATCATGAGTTACTATCTTTTATAAAATCAGAATCAGAAAATGATCAATCCAGTGGTTAATGGAAAGATGAATTAATTGATACGTGCTTTAAAAGTGAAAACAAAGAACATTTTTTTTTTGGTTTGGAACACAATGGTTTTTACCATGAAATGTCCTCCAAGGATTTTCACAAACGACCATACATTCTATATCGTTTTCAAAGGGACAACTGACCAACTACTATCCCTATTCACTGGCATTAGTCTTTCATAACTGATTCGGTTTAGCACGGTCATTCATTCGGATCTATGACTCTTTCAAACGAGGATCAAGCAATCTGGGATTACTCTTTCAAGAGAGAACATTTAATCCGGTATTATATGAATCTTTTTATTTCATGCGTTAAATCCTTCCATTCGGACAAATTTTTCTATATAGAAGTAGATTTTCTCTGCTCTATGATTTTTAATTCTACAGAAACTTTTCGTATTTATTCAATTACCATAAAACATGTAAAGTTATTATAAAATAATTTTGTTTCTTTCAAATTCATTTGATTTTAAATAAAATATATATATATCCATGTTTGTAATTTAAATATCGAAGGATTTTCTGCAAAATATTTATCTTACCATGCTGTTACCGATCCGCAATAAGGTATTGAGCTCGAGTTTCGCACGATCGCAGAGTAAAAGGATGTTCTCTCGGTGCTCGTGGCTCGTGTAAGCGCTATCAGTGAAGTCCTGGGTCCTTTCGACGACAGTATCCAGCGCGGATGTGAGAGTTTCCCGGCAACCTGGTCCTAGGAGAGTCATTCTCGTAGTTTCCACGAGTCTCTCGAAATGTTTCAGAGCTGAGAAAGCAGTGCTGCTGTCCCAGTCCTCCTGCTGTGGGCTCTGAAATTAATGACCGAATCAGCGAAACTTCTCTTCCGAAGAGACCGAGTTACCATCTGCTTCGAAATTTACATAATTCTCCCCTTTCCATACTGCACAAAGACGTATGATTGAAATTTTAATTAAAAATAACTATAGGACGTTTCGTGACTCGCTGTGGTAGCTTGTTTATTTTTTTCCATTTTTTTTCTTTTTTTTTTAATTTATCAGAAGATACGCTTTAAAATTTAATTACGCGTGTTATAAACAGCGACTATGTTTACATGGGAATATGACCCAGTACCAAGACACCGTGTAAAACCTTAATGGCGCGTCGCATCTAAATATATATCCTGTCCTAAGGTCAGCATACATAGTCGTAGTTCAACTGATCACAGTCAACCGAGGATGGAGTGCATTCGACTATGAAGTATCCGAGCCACATCGTGTGCAACTATATATTTTTCTAGAGCAATTACTCGCACGAGATCCTTGAACGTGACCGAGCACCTCGAAAACAGTATTTCCCTTTAAAGATCCGCGATTATCGGTCAATCTGCACGTAATAAATTTTTCATTTAGTGCTCTACAGAGGTTCTCGTATATCGAGCTCGAATATTTTAGCTCTGTTCAATAACACGATGCATTTTCTTGAGGAAATAAAAAAATAGCTGGATGAATTTTGAATTTATAGATCTGCAATTGTCCAAAAATTAGCTCAATAGCCGCAAAATATTAAATTTAAATAAAGTAAAAATTGCAATTAGTGCTTGAAGTATATGAAAATAAAATAAAAAATAGCTAAATGCAATATTAGTCCTCGAAATATTGAAAAATAACCCTTGCACGGCGGACCATGGAGAAAGTCCCAAAACGACAGACCGTGGAAAAAACTCCCGAGACGAAAAGTCGATTTTCGTGAATTCGAAAATTAAAAAACTATTTACATACATCGATAGAGAATAAACTGTAGTTTAACGTAGTGTAATCCGTTTTTTTATATTTGCTTCCGTTTTGCCGTGGTCCGCACTCAAAGTCAGTACAAATTCGTCAGAACGAAACGCTGATGATATTACCCGTAACTTCAATGTACGATTCTAATGAATTTTATTCGGAAAGATAAAATTCAAATGAATTATAAAGTTTACTAGATTAGTATAGATTCTATTCAGTGCATAAAGTAAGTTAAAATCTTAACAATTTTTTTAATAATAGGATCTGATTGAAACAAAGTACATTTAACTAAAATCTCGACTTTGAGTTTGATGTTAAAAGAATGCCACCATTTGCCAGATGTTTAATTATTACTACAGGAAAGAGTGAACCTTCCTCTATCAGAATCTGAAAAAATTGGGTGCACGTTTTTGCACTTTTTCAAGAAAATGGCGATTGAATGAAATTACACCCATCTTGGCCGCTGCACATGAAGATGGGAAAGCAGTACCAGATACGATTATTAACCAATTAACTGCATTCCACGTGTATATTCGTCATCCAAAACTTTATTTCGTTCTTGCAATATACCATAACAAATTTTCATAATTGTCGAAACTGTTTTCACGAATGATTTAGTATACATCATAATAAATATAAATAAATATATTATAATAACACATGTCTTGTCATTTTTTAATTATTAAATCCATTTCTCTTACAGTTATTAACAGTTTTGAGTCAAATTTTTGTTAAATGACATAAAATATGTCTAACACAGTGAAGGATATTGACCGCTATACTTTATACGTGAATATTTTGACACCCTGTAGTTCAATATGATTTATATTGATAAATCTTCATTAATTTTCATTAAAATATTTCTAATGGAACCGAAGTTACAGATTTTTGATCGCCGAAAGCCGTTTTGTCCCACTGTGCGGCGGACCACGGAGAGAGCCCCAATTTTTACATTTAACTTTAGTTAAATATCTTTGTATGTATATATTTTATAAGTTTAGGTCTCGATTGACCCAGGCTCCGCTGTGTTTAAGGGTTAAAATCCATATTACTCATTCCATTGTTCATTGTGATTGCTCTAAAAAAAGAAAAAAAAAAACAACAAGCTCATGAAAGTGTTCGCGATGTTCTGGACGGCATTTAAACCAAATAAATTCCTCTTTGCCCGGTTCATTGTTCTTGCTCGGGAAGATTTGGCCGTTGGCAAGAAATTTAAACGATGCCGATGCATTAATGCACCAGCTGCAATTTGGCACGTGCCGAAGAATGGGCCGCAACGTTTATGACATCCATTTCGGCATCGTTCGCTATGCGACGCCCTTTATCCGCGGTACGATATCAATTCGCATTGCTGTCAATTCACCGAGTCCATTCCATGCTTCTTACATTTCGAAAATGCCCCTGTTTGAAGACGAACGATACCGTTAGAGCACGTTGAAACTTTACTATGGAACATGGAACACCTTTCAAACGACCGTTCTCAACTTTCTAATGCTTCCTATTGTTACACGTATCGAGAATGAAATTTTCGGTGAAGGATCTCGACAAGTGTCAAACAAGAGAAAACCTATCGACGATCCTTCGAACGTCATACGATCCGTCTCGACGTTACGCTTTCACGAATGAATGAATACATGGAAATTTTATCTTCTACAACGGTTTGTATTTTTTATTTTTTAGTCTTCTTTTTATCTCGACGTTGAATGAACGCGCGGTGCTTCGTAACTTTACGTATTATAACTTTTTCGAGTAGTTATACTCTGCTGCGTCTGACTATGTACTGAGCTCTTCTACTCATTTCAACCGCAAGCGCTCACAGACACACTGTGCAACATATTATATTTACAAAGTTTAATTAAATTTCAATTTTTATGTTTAATTAACACTTTGATAGCTTTATATTTTGTAGATTTTGTTTTCCCGATTTTAGAATTATTTTCTGTGACAGAAGAGAATTTCATTTATCTGTAACGTTTGTAATTTTCGAAGGTTAATTAGTAGCGTTCTAATTAAAATTCTGCCCCGTCGAAGGATATTCTTTCACAGTAGTCCGCAATTTTGGCAACGATGATACGGCGAAATGATTGTTTATGGTGGTACGTTAGAAAAGTTGGCCAATGTTAGCCAAGGTCAGAAAAATCTTATTTCACGGGCGATACAGGTTAATCGTGATTCAGAATTTGGCGAACGAAAGCTCCTTGGAAAGATTCCAGGTTTTCGAATGTATTTCATTGTTAATGTTTCTCGCCGCGTCGTCGCGCGTTATTTTACGAGGGTACCATCCTAGATTTGTGGCCAATATGCGATAACATTGGTCGCTTCACGGCGCCGAAATTCTATGAATGCATGATGCTATTGCAAGAAATTTGGATTTGCATAAACACGCATTGAGAATGCGGAATACTTCGGAGTTTCGTCGTATTTCGAGGCCACGAAAACATTTGCAATTTACATTGATAAAGAGATATATAAAATGTACTGTAAATGTATACTGCAAAATAATACGAACAGTTTGTTATTGCAGATTTATATAAAATAATTTCAAAATCCCTGTTTTATTTTAATCCCCTGTCAAAAGATAACACAGTGAAATTCGAAAATTAAGCTCACGATTGATCGTAGCACGATTCAGTTTTAGATTTAAATCTCACTGACACCGGAAGCTATTTTATTTTCATCTTTATTCATAGCGAAGGATACGGTATATGCAAGGATTAAAATGATATTCATTTCACAGTCAAATATCGGGTTTTGCATGATTCCTGTATTTATTTCACTGCGATGTATCATATTCCTTGACAAATTAACTGTTCTCAATAGACAGTAAAAAAAATGAAAAATTGTTGAAAATTTTCAGTAACATCGATAGTATGTCAATAATTTGGGGCGATAAATTTCAAAGGCGAAAGTGAATAATTGTATCTGGGTCTGACTATATCTTGACCATTTCTACTGTGAAAGTCCTGTTAAGAATGAAGAATCTACTTTGCATATTTTTAAATAAACTCTACAAATATTTTAAACATCTTTCTATTATCATTCCTTGTTCGAAAAATATCCTTAATTAGTGCTATTATAATATGTCTGACTATATACGATTATTTCCACTGTGCAAGTGAGTATATTCGAAATCTACCTTACACCTTTTTTAATAAATTCTATAGATATTTTATACTCTTTTCTTTGTTTAAAAATGTTAAATACTAATTCGAAGAATAATTTTAATTCACCAACCTGAGAATTGGAGTAGGATTGTGACTCGCTGCAGTCCAGCACCCCATCTTTAACCACGTAGTGTATCAAATCCATGGCTCTTCTCATCTGGCAGAAAACGGTGTCTCTGTTCTCCCTGGCAGATGGACATTCCGGATGCCTCAAGCAGGTTTTGCTGGACGTGAGCAGCATCATAGTGCTTCTCTCTAAAACTTGGCGAGCTGCGGCCATCTGTGCCCTCCGTCTCTCGTCTTTCAAGTCATTCTAAAATTTCGAAACGTTCCATTCATTCGTTCCTACACGTTTCACGTGTTGCTGGTTACTATTTGTAAACACTCCCTTCTTTGCAATTAATACGTTCACTGCCAAGTTACTGTTTACCACGAGATTTAAATATTAGCTACCGAGCATGCGATATCGTGTTATCGGACATTTGATGTTAATCAAAATGGCTATAAGAAATTTATAAACGACTATGTTTGATTTTAGCATCTAAGTATAATTACCTGTCGATCACCGGTCAAATGAGCCAGTTCCACCATCTCAGCCCCGAACTGACTGAATGCCTTCACGAATTCGGTGAAATTCGAGACGCTCTCGAGGCGACCCAGGCTACGAGCCACTTTGTCTTTCGCGAGAAGAAGCTGTTTGACCACGACGATGTCAGCCAGAAGGAGGACTCTCGTCACAGACCCAAGAAGACATCTCGCAGCCCTGACGACAGAGCCACGATCGGCCAAACTGTCCTCCATCGCGCACTCGCATAATTTCTCGATTGCTGAACCTGAAACGGAATAATTTCTCCATTAGTAACGTCACTCTAATTGCTTCTATTTCTATGGAGATTCATATTCATTAATCTTATGAACGATTACAGAGAAATCAATAAATTCCTGGCGTTACGAGGATTCTTCTTTAACGAGAATTTTATTCGAACGAGCAGGCATCATATTTCAATGGAATAAATATATATATCTTTCATCGTTGAAGATTAATTTGAGGGATTTTTTTCAAATAGGAGAGGAATTAAATGTAGAATTTATTATAGCTTACTTACTGACAAAGTGTCAATTGAGTTTAAATAATTATTTATAGGATCATGTGTGGGTTTTAAAAAAAATTAGAAAACATTAGAAATTTTTTATCTCGAATTCCTTTCTTATTTGACAACCCCTTTGTAAGACTGCAAGAAAACAAAATTTTTGTTTATATATAATATAATGGTATTATTAATGACACTTGGTAATCGGATTGTAGATCTGCATATCCTTGGTATTAAATGCAGAATACGCTTTATGCAAATCAATCGCTCGCACACGCACACACGGTTTCCATCCTTTGGCTGTCACCGTTCTGAAGCCCGCCTCCAATATCATCCTGCGCGACAATCGAATTTCCTTTCATACCACGCAATGAATATTTATCATCTTATGAAACGCGACGAACGTGCGATGAAGAATATCAATTGCATTCGATTTTCTCATCCTTTTCGCGCGACAGCCAACGCCTTGTTAAAGGAAAAATTTATTTTAGTTCTTAATACCGTCGGTGTCATTGTTATCGTCAAATTCATAACTGTATTGTAAAATGATAGAACAGTCTCAGGACGTTCAAGAAATTTTTGCACAAAACACATAAGTGTATTTTTTATTTATGTGTTTAAAATTAATGAACTTATGGTAAATTTTATTTAATTGACCCTAACTCATATGTATAGTAAAAAACATGAATCACTGAGAATCTAAAAAATCTATAAAAATTAAAATTAATCTCAAATTTTTTAATTATGTACGAAATTTTGCAATCAATAAAAATATTTTAGTAAAGATATTTAATTTTATAATGTTTAATAATACTTTTTTCAAAACTGATACATATGACATTGAAGTGCTTTTATCATGAAACAGAATGATTATTAAATTCTCATTAATGTCAATTTTCTCTGACACATGAGATATAATTTTATTAATCATTAACAAAATCTAGATATTACAATATAATACATTAAACGAAATTAATATATAACCGGAAACTTCGATGTCAAAGTTAATTTGATACTTTGCAAAATTAATTCTGACGTTCCTTGAATATGGTACATTTAATTAAATACTGAAGCCAATAATTAATACACTTACTGTTACAATGGAAATGATCATTGTTGAAATTATTCCTTGATTCATTTTTCAATTTAAATTTCCAATTACTAATTTGCATGATTTTAATTTTCCTACATTTTTTTAAATTAATCAATTACATTTCAACCAATTTTAATACTATAATAATTAAATATTTCATCTAAATGTTATATGAGGCCCAATTTTCGTTGAATATCTCAGGCGAATATCTGATGACAAGTTATATTATGTTTGAACCCTGTGTCATAGAAAGCAATTTAACACCCATGTTTTGACATTCCATAATATACGATAGGGAATGTCTAAAGTGGAAACAGGTGTTTCACCATAGCGTTGCATCGACTTTGCCTCCATAAACTGTTCCCAGTTGATTATAGTTTACTATAATATCTCCTGTTGTTTCTCTATCAATTTCTCTCGTAAACAGTTTCTTGATCACAATTGTTTCCAAGAAAACTTCCCGCTTCTTCAATCACGGTAATTACCTTCGTGTTGGTCCCGATCTCTGCGTCAATTTTATTTATCGACGTATTTCACATTGGTACAAAGTTAATTTCTGATCTGATTGAAAACCGATGCTCAAAGCTCGTCATAGGTGATCATCAATTGTTTTACCTTTTCCTATACAATAGTGTTCTAAACTAAAAATGAATTCTCCATATATTTAAAAAATAGTATTTAAAACAATAATAGAAAATTTACAAAATGAGAATGAGAATAATCTACAATTAAATTTAATAAATGGCTCCTATTTTCACAACATAAGTAAACACATGTATCTTTAATCTGAATGCAATTTCTTCTGCATCAATTTGTCTTAATAAAAACCACGCTGCGTTTTAGTTACCACGAATTAGAAATGTATTCAGGTTCGTTACACGTATGGGCAACTTTAGCGATAAATAAAGTTTAAAGTTACGACCAGGTGACACGAGAACGCCATAAATCGTTTGATTCTGATCTCTGGTATAACCCCAATTCATGCAGACCACGAATCCTCAGATCCACTTTATAACTTTTCGTATCACTTCTTTCTTTCTTCTTTTTTTTTTATCTCCAAACACTCGTATTCCTTGTATATGAATCTCTCTTACGTTCACACGTTTCCCATTTCCTCGGACGATATATCTCACACCTTTAATCAAATTTACTCGACAAAGTTCATCCACTGGAATTCAATTTAATTCACGAAATTTGTTTTATGGAAATTTCTCTTCTGCCCGATAATTCTTGAAATATTTCTGCAATAATTCATTTCGGAGTACCTGAATGTTCTTCGAAACTTTATAATTGTATTCCCGAATAATTTTCCTCCATTTACGTATCGATGTTTTCCATCTGTTAGAAGAATCTCTGCTTGTTATAAAGTTTCTCCGGGTTATTTGAGTTGAAAAACTTCATACGTTCGTAAATTTTCACGCCTAGCCAATGTCCGAGGATAAAGTTCAAAGGCGTTCTGCTTCCGTCGAGGAGAACCGGAACCCTTTCACGACACACCAATCTTTTATGGCGCGTAAAATTTCTAATAGAATTTACTCAGCACTGGGGCGTAACATTACATTTTATTCTTTTAGGGTCAACGCCCCCTCAATCTTGTATCTTATAAGCTGATTTACATTCTTGTTACCTCTGTTTCCCTTTTTGCATTATTATTATTATTATAAAGAGTTATAAATATTTCTCTTACAATTTATGTAATTTTACAATATTTTGTAATTCTACAGAATTACAATTAATCATGCGGAGGGTCGTTTAACAAAATTTTATCGTTTTTGTATTTGATCATTGAAGCGAACACTACTGATAAGAAGCAAACGAGGTAGAAGGACGAGATAAGCTGCTAAAAACCTTTAAGAAAGCATTCTTATTCTATTAAAATATCTCCTTATATCCTTGGACAGTGGGAGCTGGGTCAATTATGACCCAATCCTCTGAAAATTCTTTCATACAAAAGACCTTCATATATGAAATAATATAAAACTAATTAAAAATAATTAAAAATTAAATTTAACCTTTTACCAATTTAAAATTACTAATTTCATTATAAAAAATTTTCTAAATATCAAACAGTAATATTTGAATGTCATTTTCTTTTTTCATAAAACTTACAGAATGAATTATTAATAATTTTTATTTTATTTATTGAAATATTTTGTATAACTGTTCCCTTTAAAACCAATACAAAATGCCTATAGTAATTTTTTCTAAAATTTGAACAAGTGAAAAATTTTATCAATAAAAACGAAAGAATTTTACATTTTCATATTGTATACACTGTTACATTCCATCGTTATTCATATTTCTGAGTATTCATACATCAAAGCTCAACACGAAACTCACTGTATGAGAATGAAATAGGTATTTCAAAAGGTTCGTTGGTTTTGAAACGTACCTTTCTGCCGAACAATTTTACAACCTTTTGCTCTGATAGTAACCAGTAAGGGAAGAGTTAGCGTAACGTAATCAGTTCAGCTGCCTTGATAGCGAAACCTTACGATGCTTTATGCAGATTGAGTATCAAGTACGCCATGCAATCCCCCTTGACCCAATTTAACAATCAGAGAAGTGCATTGCATCGTCCCGATTCGGTATTTACTATATGATTTTTACTGTCACGGATAAACGCATTACTCTCAATGTCAAATAAAATGTTTCTATTTCTAATATGACCTACAAGATCTGATTCCAGTTAATCATTGGATTTCTCTGATACATAGCAATAAGTTTATTTATAATTTAAGTAGATTTGGAAATTATGGAAGAATATAATATTGCAGTTGCATTCATAAGTGCAATATTTTAAAACAGTAAATGGCACTGAACGCTTTCAAATTTATATATATATTAATTTCACAAGATAGCAAATGGAAAATTAAAATTATCCTAAGTAGTATTAATATAATATATTAATTTCATAAGGTGTCAAATAGAACGTTTAAATTCCTGAGGAAAATTGCAATTATAATATGACGTATTTATGACCATTTGCAGTGTAACATTTATCGTGTCAAAGATTATGCCAAATCAGGTCCGTTAAAGTCATGAAAGCATCAATATATAGAATGGGTCCGAATGGATCCAGAATTCCCAGTGTCGGGGTTGATATCCGATAGTAAACGCTCAATCACGTTTCATTACAGCTATAAAATTTTACTGCATCTTGGAAATATATTCTAAATAAATCGTCGTTATGGCAGCATCGTATAGACGGCGAAATTGGATCATACTCTAGTTTCTCATGTAAATTCGGCTGGACTGGATTACAGATATCGTACCACCACAATATAGGTGCACTGCGTATAACCCAGTTCACCGATTGGTAGTTTGCAATCGATTGATCCTTTGTTGTGACAATGGACATAGATAAATCAAGCAAAATGGATCGTTTGATCTATAGAAGTCTATTGCTGTTTATTTGGTACAGGTGTGAATTTAAAATTAACTCTTCGAATAACAGATAAATATCTGTAAAAGTGTATTACATATTTTAATAAATAATTTTATTAATTACTATGAGGACTTCCTGGTTCTCCTTTCCCGGACACCCATCCTTCCCTTTCGACGATAACGAGGAGAATCTCTTTTATAATATTAATATTGTCAAAATTAGAATTTTCAGAATTGTTGCTTTTCCTATATCGCCATTTTC